CGGCAACTATAAGAACGGAATTCTTATCATCTCTGATCGCCAGTTCAAGCCTCAGCGCCAGCCAGGTGACACCGACCAAGGAATTATCTACATGGTAACGGACAAACACAAGACTACTTCCACAATGGCAAATGGCACAACAGAAAAGTCGGGATCGGAGAGGTCTACGTGCAAACATAAGCCTGCCAAACTGACGACTACGACATATGTGAGATAGGGGTATGATCGGGCCCAGTGTTCATTAACCTTTCATCAGTGTCTGAACAACGTCTGTCTTCTCTTCTGGAATATTATTGCCTGGGATTATTGGCAATCATGTATCATGCTGTGGGGTTATCACAAACATATACAAACCACTGTGTTTTTGCAACAGCAGCTGCACAGCAGCGGTGCCCGAGGAATAACATCTCTCTCTGACAGCAGAAATGAGTAGTCCTTGAAAAAAGTCCCACATGCACACCTTTTATTCAACACGTGAAGATCCGGGTAGTATGGGTCTTCACCAACCCATGCTTGCCTCCACGTGAAGATCCGGGGTAGAATAGGTCTTCACCAACCCATGCTTGCCTCCACGTGAAGATCCGGGGTAGAATAGGTCTTCACCAACCCATGCTTGCCTCCACGTGAAGATCCGGGGTAGAATAGGTCTTCACCAACCCATGCTTGTCTCCCCGTGAAGATGTTGGGAAGAATAGGTCTTCACCAACCCATGCTTGCCGTAAAAGATTATCCTTGTGATAAGAGGCGACTAACTGGTTCGGGTGGTCAGGCTCGCTGACTTGCTTGATGAATGTCGTTATATCCCAATTGCAAGGATCGATGTTCATGATGTCAAACATTGGATGTCTTGTTCCAGACTCGAATAATTACAGACCGCCGTCATATAGCTGGAATAGTGCCTAGTGCGGCGTCAAAAAACAAATAAGCAAAAAACATAAAACTTTTTATTCACCGTTGGACATTTAACAACATCCTGTATTCAAACATTACGACGTTGTTCATGTGCACTTCATCCGCCATGTTCGCCCAACGGCGACGTCATTTCACGTCCCAAACTGTCGTTGACGTCAGTTGCAGTTGCTGGTTACGGTGTCATGTAGTGCATCCACGACATGGCATGCAGATGCTGCAGTCTGCTAACAGTTGTGGTGGAATACTAAGTCGCAACAGAAACATCTCAACTGACACAAACCACCCACAAAGAACTTTGGCTATGTGTTATGTCCGCTCCACAATACACTTGGGATTAAACTGAACCGAATATATTTTGCTGTGACTGATGTTACCCTAATATAACTAGTTTTGTGGTGTTTTATTACCTTTAAAAGTTGTCTCTTTATGTAAATGTACAGGCAGGAAGCTGAAACAGTCCGTGACTTAGCGATGTTCGAAGATTTTCAAATTACGGTGTTACGTATTACAAATTTCAAATATACAAATAGTCATAATCTTGGAGATTGTCGTAAGAGTCGATTAACGGGATCCGCTGATAATGATCGCTGACTTGGTTGATGCATGTCATTTTATCCCAACTAATAGATATAGACCTGTGACACACCCATAACTCGTGATTTTAACATAACTCGGTAACCAGCCCACCAAATTTGATAATGATTTGTTTATGTCACAGTCAGCCCATCGCAGTGTCTATTTGTTCAGTGTTAGAAATTGAATTGTCATAGACATGGAGAATAGCTGCTTCAGGTAAGACGGTCATAGCGTGTTAGTAGTGTGCTTTTAACAATAATGTCAATTTAAGCAAGATTTTCATTACTTATATTATTCATTACTTATAATAATTATGTAATGCTGAGATATGCTGGCCTAAGTTTGATCACATAGTAATGTTGAAACTTCTACTCAAATTTCAAATAAGAGATCTTGTATATTTACATACAATTTACAAAAAAAACCTCTAACTAATGGAGGGCATAAACCTACTAAATGTGTTTTGAATTTCACGTTTTAATAAACCTTGTGAATTTCATATCAACACTTTGACTTGAGGCTAACTAACATGGTTAGTTTTGTTAGCACTGTGTTGTAATTGTCCCACAATAACTGTCTAACTGTAACACAATATGTCTTTATGAAGTGCAAAGTGATACATCATCGGTTAAGTGTAATATTTTCAAAAGATTCAATGCTCGAAGTTAGGATGATGACGATCATGTTTATTTTCATAACAACATTTATTTATTGCAATAATATAAAAGGGAATATAATGACCAATTGCAGTTAATCTGTGAACTTACTTATTAAGACCAACTACGATGAAAAAAAGCGCCTAAGCAAATCTGAGTTCTAAATTGAAATGATAGGCGTCCTGAAGTGAAAAAAAAAACATTTTAAAATTGCCTACCCGAATTAAGAATTAAAATCAAATGAAAATCTCTTAGAATCGGTACGTCAGGCCAATCATGTATGTATCACAGCTAAAACAGAGAGTGCTCAGCTTAACAAAAGAAATCTGCGAGCACCACACTGTCATGAATTGCTTCGGGAAATCCAACCGCGCCGCCTCAGGCGGTAACCCCCGTCACCAGCAGCCGTGGTATGACTCAAACACACACCCAAAGTTCACAGAACGTTAATAGCAATCCATTTTCAGCATCATCCAGGTCTGGATTTCTTCCCAACGCAAACTTTACAGGAGGCAACTTGTATTTCAAGTGAATGACATTGCCATAGCCGCCATCTTTCTGCTGTTTGTAAAAGCAAGCGATGTCACTCCAAATGGAATGTTTGGGACGGATGACGTCACGACGTCACGTCTCTCCGCGTTGATATTGTTCGCTTTGAATAATTATAATTTGAAGTTTAATCGATTGTTTTGTTAGGCTTTATGTATCTGTCAATATAAGGATTGAAGTTGTATTTGTCGACGTTCATCAGCTTCGCGCATCATGGAATTTGATCAGATGATGAACGTCAACAAATACAACTTCAATCCTTTAATAACATGTATATAGACCTTAACATAACCTTGAAGGTTGAATAACACCGTGGCTTTCATTTCAGAAGTTTAATGCAGAATGGGGTTCACGGCTGTTCTCATGGCGCTGCTGATTGCACTGGCTTTAACGACAGCAGGTATGGTCATAGTATAAAGAGTTGGTCCTTCCTTTCACGAACCTGGCTTTAAGGGAATGCCAAATTGTTCGTAGGGGCAAATACTTTGTATTGACTTTGATACAGTACATTTGTCTTGGTATATAACACACGTAACACACACAGTACCCACATATAAAGTATCCATGATTAGATATATTTCAATACTACTCTTCTCAGAATGAAATAAATAAGACACCATTTAAAACACGCACAGTGTCCATCTATAGCTTAAAACAAATTAAATTAGAATTAAAAAACTTAAAGTTGTTTCTACTGGTTGTGAATGCGACATCTTGTTTGTGTTTCCATACACAACACTGGTGCGTGTAAATTGTGAAAGACCGCCTCCGGGGTCTAGTGGCAGAGCGTCCGAAAGGTCCGGGGTTCGATCTCCAGCCGCGTGATACCAAAAAAAAAGATGGTACTTATTGTTACCCTTTCTGGCGCTCAGCATTAATTATATAAGGAGCTAAAACAAGGACAGGTCGGCTCGGGGTCAGTATATTCATATTAATGTCGCCACATCAAATATGCGTAAAAAGGCGTTAAAATGCGCTACAACGCGACAATGCGATATATTGATAATGTTGCACTGTCACATTGCCCTTTTCGATTAATCGTGAGCATATGTTGTAAGTAATTTAATCTACGCATGGAGAGAAATGGTTGCTTTTTCACGAAATTGAAACAAATCTTCCATTGTTAGAAATTAGTTCATATGTCGTTATTGTCTGTGTCGTTTTTCATAAACCAAACGTGTTTTCGCAGCAAGAAATAAACACTTTGCATTTCTATTTAATGCCTCATAAAATCGATGAGGGCACACACGGTTGGCCCTGCTGTCATTTCGCAATTCGCTGTGCAGAGGTGCGTCTCCTAGACGTACAAGAAAACTGTGAATCGTGGGTTGGAATCCCAGCACCATACACATACAACAAAACATCACTAAGGGATTTCCTCCCACATCAAGCTGACACGCTGTGATGTTTGAAAAGCAGTATAACCACTTCGGTGCATGGGTAGATTAATGCACTTTCCACACATGCGCACCTTTAACCGGAAAGAGCCACAATGGGACAATCCGACAATATCAGTATGTCGCATTGTTGCGCATTTTAAAGCCTCTTTTACACATTTGCTGGAGCGACAATTGGACATATTTGGACCTTGAAAAAATGGTGCAGTGTCGCCCTTTGGTGAAATTATAAAAAAAATCAAAGCGTGATAATGCGACAACACGACAATGCGACAAATAACCAAAATGTTGCATTGGCGCCCTTTGGATGACTTGTTTTTATAAGGCGACAATGCGACAATGTCCCTTCTAGTATTACATATATGACTGAAATATTGTTCGAAGGGGCGTGTAACCAAATCCACTCTCTCTTGTGGGACTTTGCAACAGGAGTACTGTGTTATGTTCTAATATCATGGGAATAGCTGTTTATCTGCAGTTGATGTGTCACTCAGTAGTGTTGTATCATTATCATATTTCACATTTATTTCTGTTGAAGGTTCTACGACACAAAGAATTTCAACAGCCACAATTACTTCGCCCATCACGGAAACAGCGACCACAGCTGCGCTTACCACTTCAACAATAAGAACTACTAAACAAACCACTACCACACCCACCGCTACTGTACCAACCACAACTACCCCTACTGCTTATACACTCACCATTAATACACTTCCCATTTCTATACCAAAAACAACAACACAAACAACGACAACTACACTTATCACAATTACAATCAAGACTTCTATACCCATCACACCTACGCCTTCAACTTCTACACAAACAACTTCAACACCAATAACTTCTACACCACCCACTTACACACCGACAATTTCTAAACCCACCACTTCTACCCGCGCCACCTCGATACCAACAATTTCTGGCCAAACGATTTCTACATCCATCACTTCTACACCCACCACTTCCACACCTACGACATCTACACCCACCATGTCGCTACCAACGATTTCTAGCCCCACTATTTCTTCATCCATCACTTCTACACCCGACTCTTCCACACCTACGACATCTACACCCACCATGTCGCTACCAACAATTTCTAGCCCCACTATTTCTTCATCGACCACTTCTACACCCACCACTTCCACACCTACGACATCTACACCCACCATGTCGCTACCAACAATTTCTAGACCAACTATTTCTTCATCAAACCCTTCTACGCCCGCCACTTCCACACCTACGACATCTACACCCGCCATGTCGCTACCAACAACTTCTAGCCCCACTATCCCTTCATCCACCACTTCTACACCCACCACTTCCACACCTACGACATCTACATCCACCATGTCGCTACCAACAATATCTAGCCCCACTATCCCTTCATCCACCACTTCTACACCCACCACTTCCACACCCACTCCTAACGGATACAATCTTTCACCACCCATAACAACCTCCATACCAACAGGTGCTATACCCAACCTTCCTACGCCGATAAATTCTACGCCCACCACTTTTATTCCCAACACTTCCACACCCACGACTTTTACACCTACCACTTATACAACCTCCATGCCCACCTCTCATACGACGATAACTTCTACGCCCACCTCTTCTATTCCCAACACTTCCACACCCATCATTTCTACACCCACTACTTATACATCCACTCCTAAAGGATACAATCTTTCACCAACCACAACCACTTCACCATCCACCAGTACTATACACACCTCTCCAACCCCGATAACTTCTACGCCCATTACGTTTACACCCACCACTTCTACACTCACGACTTCCACACCTACGACATCTACACCCACCTTGTCGCTACCTACAATTTCTAGCCCCACTTTTTCTTCATCAACCGCTTCTACACCCGCCATCTCCACACCTACGACTTCTACATCCACCATGTCGCTACCAACAATTTCTAGCCCCACTATTTCTTCACCCACCACTTCTACTACCATCACTTCCACACCTACGTCATCTACGCCCACAATGTCGCTATCAACAATTTCTAGCCCCACTATTTCTTCATCCACCACTTCTACACCCACCACTTCCACACCTACGACATCTACACCCACCATGTCGCTACCAACAATTTCTAGCCCCACTATTTCTTCATCCACCACTTCTACACCCACCACTTCCACACCTACGACATCTACACCAACCATGTCGCTACCAACAATTTCTAGCCCCACTTTTCCTTCATCCACCACTTCTACACCCACCACTTCCACACCTACGACATCTACACCCACCATGTCGCAACCAACAATTTCTAGCCACACTATTCCTTCATCCACATCTTCTACACCCACCACTTCCACACCCACTCCTAAGGGATACAATCTTTCACCAACCATAACCACTTCACCACCCACCAGTACTATACACGCCTCTCCAACCCCGATAACTTCTACGCCCATTACGTTTACACCCATCACTTCTACACCCACGACTTCCACACCTACGTCATCTATACCCACCATGTCGCTACCAACAATTTCAAGCCCCACTATTTCTTCATCAACCATTTCTACACCCACCACTTCCACACCTACGACATCTACGCCCACCATGTCGCTACCAACAATTTCTAGCCCCACTATTTCTTCATCCACCACTTCTACACCCACCACTTCCTCACCCACGCCTAACGGATACAATCTTTCACCAACCAGAACAACTTCCATACCAACCAGTGCTATACCCAACCTTCCTACGCCAATAAATTCTACGCCCACCACTTTTATTCCCAACACTTCCACACCCACGACTTTTACACCTACCACTTATACAACATCCATACCCACCTCTCATACGCCGATAACTTCTGCGCCAACCTCTTCTATTCCCAACACTTCCACACCCATCATTTCTACACCCACAGCTTATACATCCACTCCTAAAGGATACAATCTTTCACCAACCACAACAACTTCCACACCCACCAGTACTATACACACCTCTCCAACCCCGATAACTTCTACGCCCATTACGTTTACACCCACCACTTCTACACCCACGACTTCCACACCTACGACATCTATACCCACCATGTCGCTACCAACAATTTCTAGCCCCACTATTTTTTCATCCACCACTTCTACACCCACCACTTCCACACCTACGTCATCTACGCCCACAATGTCGCTATCAACAATTTCTAGCCCCACTATTTCTTCATCCACCACTTCTACACCCACCACTTCCACACCTACGACATCTACACCCACCATGTCGCTACCAACAATTTCTAGCCCCACTATTTCTTCATCCACCACTTCTACACCCACCACTTCCACACCTACGACATCTACACCAACCATGTCGCTACCAACAATTTCTAGCCCCACTTTTCCTTCATCCACCACTTCTACACCCACCACTTCCACACCTACGACATCTACACCCACCATGTCGCAACCAACAATTTCTAGCCACACTATTCCTTCATCCACATCTTCTACACCCACCACTTCCACACCCACTCCTAAGGGATACAATCTTTCACCAACCATAACCACTTCACCACCCACCAGTACTATACACGCCTCTCCAACCCCGATAACTTCTACGCCCATTACGTTTACACCCATCACTTCTACACCCACGACTTCCACACCTACGTCATCTATACCCACCATGTCGCTACCAACAATTTCAAGCCCCACTATTTCTTCATCAACCATTTCTACACCCACCACTTCCACACCTACGACATCTACGCCCACCATGTCGCTACCAACAATTTCTAGCCCCACTATTTCTTCATCCACCACTTCTACACCCACCACTTCCTCACCCACGCCTAACGGATACAATCTTTCACCAACCAGAACAACTTCCATACCAACCAGTGCTATACCCAACCTTCCTACGCCAATAAATTCTACGCCCACCACTTTTATTCCCAACACTTCCACACCCACGACTTTTACACCTACCACTTATACAACATCCATACCCACCTCTCATACGCCGATAACTTCTGCGCCAACCTCTTCTATTCCCAACACTTCCACACCCATCATTTCTACACCCACAGCTTATACATCCACTCCTAAAGGATACAATCTTTCACCAACCACAACAACTTCCACACCCACCAGTACTATACACACCTCTCCAACCCCGATAACTTCTACGCCCATTACGTTTACACCCACCACTTCTACACCCACGACTTCCACACCTACGACATCTATACCCACCATGTCGCTACCAACAATTTCTAGCCCCACTATTTTTTCATCCACCACTTCTACACCCACCACTTCCACACCTACGACATCTACGCCCACCATGTCGCTACCAACAATTTCTAGCCCCACTATTTCTTCATCCACCACTTCTACACACACCACTTCCACACCTAGGACATCTACACCCACCTTGTCGCTACCAACAATTTCTAGCCCCACTATTTCTTCATCGATCACTTCTCCACCCACCACTTCCAAACCTACGACATCTACACCCACCTTGTCGCTACCAACAATTTCTAGCCCCACTATTTCTTCATCGACCACTTCTCCACCCACCACTTCCACACCTACGACTACTACATCCACCATGTCGCTACCAACAATTTCAAGCCCCAATATTTCTTCACCCACCACTTCTACACCCACTCCTAACGGATACAATCTTTCACCAACCACAACAACTTCCATACCAACCAGTGCTATAGCCATCCTTCCTACGCCGATAAATTCTACGCCCACCACTTTTATTCCCAACACTTTCACTTCCACGACTTTTACACCTACCACTTATACAACATCCATACCCACCTCTCATACGCCGATAACTTCTACGCCAACCTCTTCTATTCCCAACACTTCCACACCCATCATTTCTACACCCACCACTTATACATCCACTCCTAAAGGATACAATCTTTCACCAACCACAACAACTTCCACACCCACCAGTACTGTACACACCTCTCCTACCCCGATTACTTCTACGCCCATTACGTTTACACCCACCACTTCTACACCCACCACTTCCACACCTACGACATCTATACCCACCATGTCGCTACCAACAATTTCAAGCCCCACTATTTCGTCATCAACCACTTCTACATCCACCACTTCCACACCTACGATATCTACACCAACCTTGTCGCTACCAACAATTTCTAGCCCCACTATTTCTTCATCGATCACATCTACACCCACCACTTCCTCACCTACGTCATCTACACCCACCATGTCGCTACAAACAATTTCTAGCCCCACCATTTCTTCATCGACCACTTCTACACCCACCACTTCCACACCTACGACATCTACACCCACCTTGTCGCTACCAACAATTTCTAGCCCCACCATTTCTTCATCAACCACTTCTACACCCACCACTTCCACACCTACGACATCTATACCCACCATGTCGCTACCAACAACTTCTAGCCCCACTATTTCTTCATCGACCACTTCTCCACCCACCACTTCCACACCTACGACATCTACACCCACCTTGTCGCTACGAACAATTTCTAGCCCCACTATTTCTTCATCAACCACTTTTACACCCACCACTTCCACACCTACGACTACTACACCCACCATGTCGCTACCAACAAGTTCTAGCCCCAATATTTCTTCATCCACCACTTCTACACCCACTCCTAACGGATACAATCTTTCACCAACCACAACAACTTCCACACCAACCTCTCATACGCCGATAACTTCTACGCCAACCTCTTCTATTCCCAACACTTCCACACCCATCATTTCTACACCCACAGCTTATACATCCACTCCTAAAGGATACAATCTTTCACCAACCACAACAACTTCCACACCCACCAGTACTATACACACGTCTCCTACCCCGATAACTTCTACGCCCATTACGTTTAGACCCGCAACTTCCGCCCCTACGACTTCTACATCCACCATGTCACTACGAACAATTTCTAGCCCCACTATTTCTTCATCCATCACTTCTACATCCACCACTTCCACACCTACGTCATCTACACCCACCATGTCGCTACCAACAATTTCTAGCCCCACTATTTCTTCATCAACCACTTCTACATCCACCACTTCCACACCTACGACATCTACACCCACCATGTCGCTACCAATAATTTCTAGCCCCAATATTTCTTCATCGACCACATCTACACCCACCACTTCCTCACCTACGACATCTACACCCACCATGTCGCTACCAACAATTTCTAGCCCCACTATTTCTTCATCGACCACTTCTACACCCACCACTTCCACACCTACGACATCTACACCCACCATGTCGCTACCAACAATTTCTAGCCCCAATATTTCTTTATCCACCACTTCTACACCCACTCCTAACGGATACAATCTTTCACCAACTACAACAACTTCCATACCAACCAGTGCTATACCCAACCTTCCTACGCCGATAAATTCTACGCCCACCACTTTTATTCCCAACACTTCCACACCCACGACTTTTACACCTACCACTTATACAACATCCATACCCACCTCTCATTCGCCGATAACTTCTACGCCCACCTCTTCTATTCCCAACACTTCCACACCCATCATTTCTACATCCACCACTTATACATCCACTCCTAAAGGATACAATCTTTCACAAACCACAACAACTTCCATGCCAACCAGTAATATACCCAACCTTCCTACGCCAACCTCTTCTATTCCCAACGCTTCCACACCCATCATTTCTACACCCACAGCTTATACATCCACTCCTAAAGGATACAATCTTTCACCAACCACAACAACTTCCACACCCACCAGTACTATACACGCCTCTCCTACCCCGATAACTTCTACGCCCATTACGTTTACACCCACTATTTCTACACTCAGGACTGCCACACCTAAGACATTTACACCCACCATGTCGCTACAAACAATTTCTAGCCCCACTATTTTTTCATTCGCCACTTCTACATCCACCACTTCCACACCTACGACTTCTACATCCACCATGTCACTACCAACAATTTCTAGCCCCACCATTTCTTCATCAACCACTTCTACACCCGCCACTTCCACACCTACGACATCTACACCCACCATGTCGCTACCAACAATTTCTAGCCCCACTATTTCTTCATCAACCACTTCTACATCCACCACTTCCACACCTACGACATCTACACCAACCTTGTCGCTACCAACAATTTCTAGCCCCACTATTTCTTCATCGACCACTTCTACACCCACCACTTCCACACCTACGACATCTACACCCACCATGTCGCTACCAACAATTTCTAGCCCCAATATTTCTTTATCCACCACTTCTACACCCACTCCTAACGGATACAATCTTTCACCAACTACAACAACTTCCATACCAACCAGTGCTATACCCAACCTTCCTACGCCGATAAATTCTACGCCCACCACTTTTATTCCCAACACTTCCACACCCACGACTTTTACACCTACCACTTATACAACATCCATACCCACCTCTCATACGCCGATAACTTCTACGCCCACATCTTCTATTCCCAACACTTCCACACCCATCATTTCTACATCCACCACTTATACATCCACTCCTAAAGGATACAATCTGTCACCAACCACAACTTCCACACCCACCAGTACTATACACGCCTCTCCTACCCCGATAACTTCTACGCCCATTACGTTTACACCCACTATTTCTACACTCACGACTGCCACACCTACGACATCTACACCAACCTTGTCGCTACCAACATTTTCTAGCCCCACTATTTCTTCATCCACCACTTCTACACCCACCACTTCCACACCTACGACTTCTACATCCACCATGTCACTACCAACAATTTCTAGCCCCACTATTTCTTCATCAACCACTTCTACACCCACCACTTCCACACCTACGACATCTACACCAACCTTGTCGCTACAAACATTTTCTAGCCCCACTATTTCTTCATCAACCAGTTCTACACCCACCACTTCCACACCTACGTCATCTACACCCACCATGTCGCTACCAACAATTTCTAGCCCCACTATTTCTTCATCAACCACTTCTACACCCACCACTTCCACACCTACGTCATCTACACCCACCATGTCGCTACCAACAATTTCTAGCCCCACTATTTCTTCATCAACCACTTCTACACCCACCACTTCCACACCTACGTCATCTACACCCACCATGTCGCTACCAACAATTTCTAGCCCCACTATTTCTTCATCAACCAGTTCTACATCCACCACTTCCACACCTACGACATCTACACCAACCTTGTCGCTACCAACATTTTCTAGCCCCACTATTTCTTCATCCACCACTTCTACACCCACTCCTAACGGATACTATCTTTCACCAACCACAACAACTTCCATACCAACCAGTGCTATACCCAACCTTCCTACGCCGATAAACTCTACGCCCACCACTTTTATTCCCAACACTTCCACACCCACGACTTTTACACCTACCACTTATACAACATCCATACCCACCTCTCATACGCCGAAAACTTCTACGCCCACCTCTTCTATTCCCAACACTTCCACACCCATCATTTCTACATCCACCACTTATACATCCACACCTAAAGGATACAATCTTTCACCAACCACAACAACTTCCATACCTACCAGTAATATACCCAACCTTCCTACGCCAACCTCTTCTATTCCCAACACTTCCACACCCATCATTTCTACACCCACAGCTTATACATCCACTCCTAAAGGATACAATCTTTCACCAACCACAACAACTTCCACACCCACCAGTACTATACACGCCTCTCCTACCCCGATAACTTCTACGCCCATTACGTTTACACCCACAATTTCAACACTCACGACTGCCACACCTACGACATCTACACCTACCATGTCGCTACAAACAATTTCTAGCCCCACTATTTTTTCATTCACCACTTCTACACCCACCACTTCCACACCTACGACATCTACACCCACCATGTCGCTACAAACAATTTCTAGCCCCACTATTTTTTCATTCACCACTTCTACATCCACCACTTCCACACCTACGACTTCTACATCCACCATGTCACTACCAACAATTTCTAGCCCCACTATTTCTTCATCAACCACTTCTACACCCACCACTTCCACACCTACGTCATCTACACCCACCATGTCGCTACCAACAATTTCTAGCCCCACTATTTCTTCATCAACAAGTTCTACATCCACAACTTCCACACCTACGACATCTACACCAACCTTGTCGCTACCAATATTTTCAAGCCTCACTATTTCTTCATCGACCACATCTACACCCACCACTTCCTCACCTACGACATCTACACCCACCATGTCGCTACCAACAATTTTTAGCCCCACTATTTCTTCATCGACCACTTCTACACCCACTCCTAACGGATACAATCTTTCACCAACCACAACAACTTCCATACCAACCAGTGCTATACCCAACCTTCCTACGCAGATAAATTCTACGCCAACCACTTTTATTCCCAACACTTCAACACCCACGACTTTTACACCTACCACTTATACAACATCCATACCCACCTCTCATACGCCGATAACTTCTGCGCCAACCTCTTCTATTCCCAACACTTCCACACCCATCATTTCTACACCCACTGCTTATACATCCACTCCTAAAGGATACAATCTTTCACCAACCACAACAACTTCCACACCCACCAGTACTATACACACCTCTCCAACCCCGATAACTTCTACGCCCATTACGTTTACACCCACCACTTCTACACCCACGACTTCCACACCTACGACATCTATACCCACCATGTCGCTACCAACATTTTCTAGCCCCACTATTTTTTCATCCACCACTTCTACACCCACCACTTCCACACCTACGACATCTACGCCCACCATGTCGCTACCAACAATTTCTAGCCCCACTATTTCTTCATCCACCACTTCTACACACACCACTTCCACACCTAGGACATCTACACCCACCATGTCGCTACCAACAATTTCTAGCCCCACTATTTCTTCATCAACCAGTTCTACATCCACCACTTCCACACCTACGACATCTACACCAACCTTGTCGCTACCAACAATTTCTAGCCCCACTATTTCTTCATCGACCACATCTACACCCACCACTTCCTCACCTACGACATCTACACCCACCATGTCGCTACCAACAATTTTTAGCCCCACTATTTCTTCATCGACCACTTCTACACCCACTCCTAACGGATACAATCTTTCACCAACCACAACAACTTCCATACCAACCAGTGCTATACCCAACCTTCCTACGCCGATAACTTCTACGCCCACCTCTTCTATTCCCAACACTTCCACACCCATCATTTCTACATCCACCACTTATACATCCACTCCTAAAGGATACAATCTGTCACCAACCACAACTTCCACACCCACCAGTACTATACACACCTCTCCTACCCCGATAACTTCTACGCCCATTACGATTACACCCACCACTTCTACACCCACGACTTCTACAACCACGCCAAAAAGAATGAATCTTTCACCAACAACTTCCACACCCACCAGTACTGTCCCCACCTCTCCTACACCGATAACTTCTACGCCCGCCACTTATATTCCCAAAATTTCGACACCCACGACTTCTTCACCCACTACTTCCACAACTTCTTCTAAAGGATACAATCTTTCACTAACCACAGCCTCCAAACCAACCAGTACTATATCCAAGGCTCCTACGCCGATAACTTCTACGCCCGCCACTTTTACACCGACCACTCCCACAGGCACGACTTCTACACCTACATCCACCTCTTCTACACCCACAACTTCCACCCACTTCACATCTACCTCATCAACTTCTACTTCCACATTTTTTATACCCACTACTTCTACATCACCAACACCAACTACTAATACATCAACCACTACTACACCTACGTCTACCGCAAGACCGATAGCATCAACACTCAGGACTACGACAACACGTACTACGCCTGCTGCGACTTCTTCCACAGCGACTTCTGTCCCTGCTTCCAGACCAACAGCAGATGTTCCGGTAACATACGGTATGCTTTTCCAATTTTCAGATACAGTGAACTACGGTTATAACGAACACACTTATAACGAACTAACGGATATAACGAACTAACTTATTAGTCCCGACTGTATGCTGTAGTTATGCTGTATATATGCTTATAACGAAGTACGGTTATAACGAACTGAAATTAGTAGTCCCTTTGAGTTCGTTATAACCGTTGTTTACTGTACATATGTCATAAAATTAACGAGAGTTTATGTCTCTTGAAGTATTTTATTGAAGTGTTTGATGATTGCATTTTAACGTTTTTTTCACCACAGTCAGCAATAGTCAAGCAATCTCACGACAATGACTAATAGAGCTCAAGAGGTGAATATGGTGTCCTAATGTGTAGCCATCCGATCCACAATGTAGTCACAGACATAGGGTCCATTGCCCTAATATGATCATTACAGCTGATACATTTTTCTCCTTTAATTTTTTTTTTTTGCTTTGAGATCATTTTCTTAATTACATGAAAAGCACCTTACTCACTTGTTGTCCATGCACAATTATGTGAACAAACAGATTCCTCAATGCAGATTGAACACAGCTTTTCGAGTCAAAGGCGTGTTGTGACCTTCATTTTGCCTGTTATATTTTATGCCAGTCAACAAATTCCCCTGCATCTTAAATTGTACAAACCTTATACACCGATAATAGTAGCGGACGGGTTGTTTTGGAATATCGACATTAGTCGACGTCAATATAGTAGAACAAGAAAGTTACTTCATTTGGATTTATTCCAAGCACTGTTCAACTATGAGAGGCCAGGAATGTGATTTAATCATTCCTAATAAGGTTTTCTAATATTTAAGATGACAAGTTTAAGTCACCGTTGAATTTTGTATGATAACAAGGGAGATAGTTCTATGGATTTACAACTTCTTTATTACAATGAATGTGACGTTGTGATGTAGATACTAACACAGTTATTAAGCATGTGATGTACAGAAATGTCTTGTTAGGAGGTGACATACATATGGATAATTGATGCTAAAACAAAGTAGAATGGTGATAGATTGATGTTTACACAACAGGTGAGGTGAAATGGGGTTTAACGTCTCGCCAAAGATTATTGCATTTCTATAGCGACGTGCATGCACGTGTGTGTGTGGGGGGCTGCTTGTAGTAGTCCGGACTAATACCGAATTCTTGTGTTAGCTCACTGAGATACCGTGCCGCAGTTTAACATAATACCCCACTCAGACACAGTATACTGACTCCGAGCCGACCAGTCCTTGTTTTAGCCCCTTAATGCCGAGCGCCAGACAGGGTAACAACAAGTACCATCTTTTAACGTCTTTTGGTATGACGCGGCCGTTGATCGAACCCTGGACCTTCCGCTCTCCGGGCGGACGCTCTACCACTAGACCACGGTGGCGGTCAAGATGAGAAGGATTAAGATGTGCTTTGTAATGGACAATGGGAATGAGTTTTATGATTGATAAGTCATGATCTCATAGTATTCCGATGTAATAACATTGATCTCTGGCTGGCTGATTGGTGTCTTTTGATGTGGTGGCTTCTACGAGTTACCTGATCTAGCAGTTTATATGACTTCTGGTAAGTATGCTGATGTTGTCCCAATGGATGATGTAGTATTGATGGGCTTTATTTTCACTGATGGCGGATGTGAAGTCTTTCTCCTGCACTGTGATTGTTTGTTTCTTAATTCTTAGGGGGCCGCGATTTGCTTTGCAGAGTTGCTTCCCTTGGGCACGCCAGAAACCTGTGATTGTGGGTTCGAATCCCGCTTCGCCCCAATTATGTTTTTAGGTTTGTCAGCGCCATACTGTGTTCGTGGGTTTTTCAACGAAGTGGTAAACGTCTGATACCTGCATCACTTCGGCCTTTCCTCCCATATTAAGCTGACACGCCGTGATTTTACTGGAATACTGTAAAAAGCGGCGTTAAACCTAATTCACTCACTCACTCATTCTTAATTCCTACTGGGATGTTTCTCCAACATAAGAGTGACCACTATCACTTATAATGGACAATGATGTCTTTGTAAATTTTTGTACGTTACACAGAGGATCAGGGTTCATTCAACCGTAATCTGTTTTGTCAGGTGTGTAACAAATGGTGAGGTGAGGTGAGGTGAAATGGTGAGGTGAGGTGAAATGGGGTTATTGGGGTTATCCAAGATTATTGCACTTATATAGTGCAATACGTGAATGACCGTGTGTGTGTGTGTGTGTGTGTGTGTGTGTGTGTGTGTGTGTGGCTGCTTGTACTATTCCGAACTGCTGCCGATTTATAGTGCTAGCCCACTGATATACTATGTCGCAGTTTAACATGAATACCCCCCTCAGACACAGTAAACTGACAAGTCCTTGTTTTAGCACATTAAGGCCGAGCGCCAGACAGGGTAACAACAAGTACCATCTTTTAACGTCTTTTGGTATGACGCGGCCGGGGATCGAACCCCGGACCTTCCGCTCTCCGGGCGGACGCTCTACCACTAGACCACGGTGGCAGTCTGTAACAAATGGCGTGTGTAGGGGAAGGTGCCTTAAGAACCACACTTTAAGTCACACCTGCAGTTAAACCTAGACTTATTTTTTACAGGCCTTGTGTGTGTCAGATAGAGGTGTGTGCTTGTGTGTGTGTGTGTGTGTGTGTGTGTGTGTGGTGTGAGTGTGTGTGTGTGTGTGTGTGTGTGTGTGTGTGTGTGTGTGTGTGTGTGTGTGTGTGTGTGTGTGTGTGTTTCCTGTTTAACTCCGCACTCCAGCAAATATTCCAGGTTTATGAAGGTGGTCTGTAAAAATTGAGTTGGAACCAAACAATCTTGTGATTGATATTGTGAGCAACGATCCTAACCGTCAGTGTACGATGTCACCGGGCCTAACAACCCACTGATTAAGTCTCCGCTTACAACCAGCATACGCTGATGGTAACCGGTTCTGACCGGAATGTCCACAGGGATACAAAGTTTGAAACTTTCAGCGAATGTTATAGTACACAAACACCATGATTGACATGTATATTTGAAAACGTATTTCTAAAAGAGTTTTTAATTCGTTAACCCGGAAACGTGTTAATTCGCATGATTCAACATTTAGTTAGAACGATATATACCGGATCAAGAAGTGTACACTAATTCGTGAATAATACATTTGTAGTTGTTATCTCAAGGGCGTGGCTAAATATATAACGCGTATTCAGAATGAACGTACAGGTCAACTATAGGCTGCCCTCTGTGGAGGGTGTGTGCCCAAAGCTGCTTCGCACGACTAGTCGGCAATCTGTTGTGACATATTCAAGATGCGATCGTGACAGTGGTTGCACAACTTGTCAAACCTGTCAAAGTGGTTAGTCAGAACTGTTCTTACATTTTCGCATTTGATGTCAACAGCGCCGACCTGTTAAATATTTATTTAGTTAAGTAATCAGAGAGACATTGACGTGTGAGGCTAATATATAAACTCTTATTAATAGGTGAGTTGAGGTGAAATGGGGTTTAACGTCGCGTCCAAGATTATTGCACTTATGTAGCGACGTGCATATACGTGTGTGTGTTTGTGTGGCTGCTTGTACTAGTCCGGACTGATGCCGATTTATAGCGCTAGCTCACTGAGATACCATGCCGCAGTTTAACATGAATACCCCACTCAGACACAGTGTACTGACTCCAGTCCTTGTTTTTTTACCCCCTTAATGCCGAGCGCCAGACAGGGTAACAACAAGTACCATCTTTTAACGTCTTTTGGTATGACGCGGCCGGGGATCGAACCCCGGAATTTCCGCTCTCCGGGCGGACGCTCTAACACTAGACCACAGAGGCGGCTTTTATTAATAGAAGTGCTCGGTTCCAAATGAAAATAAGAGATATCTACTCTACAATGGGACTACATCACTGTCTCCTAATTGATAGAAAACCTAATAATTTTAATATTATGAACACAGACATGGAATATCAAGTATCTTGCCTGACATGTAAAATACTCGAAGTTTAACTGTCGATGGCGCTTGATCAATGTCCATGTGCCTCCTGCAGCCTCGGAATAGGTAAAATAATATCTACACTGCTTTCATGATAAAATATATTTTGCCGGTATTTTTCTGATATGTAATATGTGTCTGGAATTATTTTTTTTCTGTAAAATCGGGTAGCGTAGTGTAAATCAACATTGACTTCAGATGTTTGTGATGTTGGAGCAAAACAGAAAGTGATGCTGGCGTTAAACTTAACCACTTTGGTGAAGCCCACAAGAAAAATACTAGAAACATAATCACGAATCGGGGACATGTATCCCCGACAGTAGGTTTCTGGTTTCTTATAGTATGAAGGTAGCAGGTTGTTAAGTTACTGTTTTTCATTTCAGGTAAATCAACCGTCAAACAGGAAATAGACACATCGAAACCTCGCTTAGGTAGGTTACGTAGCACGACAGCTTTTTAAGAAATAAACGACTCGTGGTCGTTGTTTATCGTACAATAAACACACACGAGGGGCTGCGCGAGTCGTTTATGTCTTATATGAGATATAAACATTATGTACAACCTCTTAAGGATGCTGATAAGATGTACAAGCTTTAAAGATATGTTCCCAGATTCTAATAATGATGACTCCCTGGTTAGAATCCGACCTCGGAATAGTCGAAAATGTCTATGTTACGAACTGGTGGCTTACATTTGGTACTTTCAGCATATTCTCACAATTCTCACGTCGATAATCTGTACCCTTTCTCCCAATACCGATTTTGTCATATCTCTCCCACTTTTGGATGCGATGGTTCGACCACTGCGTTTATCTGCGTAGCCCAGCTACATCTATGAGGAACAACTTACCAGACACTTCGCTCTGAAACGAAACGTTAACAGATATATGACATCAGCAAGTTGAGAGAACTTATTCAAATCACACGAAAAATGTTATGTCATGAAATAAACCACGTTTTTTTCTTCATTGTTCTCTGCTATAGTATATGTAATGGCGGAACATAGCACAATATTAACAAAAACTGATGTTCATTTTGTTTGGAATAACAAACAAGGTTAGTTGTACTTCGCCAAACCGTTTAAAATCCAGTAATAAAATGCAGTTTATCTTTATTGAGTTTGTCGTCATATATGTATAATAATACCGTTATACATTTTCCATTTTTCCACATTTGCCTTGTAGATATTGCGGTATTTCAACTTAGCTTCAACATACAAGTTATGGACGGGTTTCACCCCGCTTTGGAAGACAAATCAAGCGCTATGTACCGACTCTACAACAAGGAGTTCATCACGAAGGTAAGATCATCATTTTTCAGGGACATTAACATCAATTCAAGACATATTGGATAATAAATGTGCTGATGCATTTACAACATCAATTCCCATCTTGAATTTAAAATGATCAAGTACATTGTAATTTCACAATTAACGCTGCTGCGAACGTATCGCCATTTATTCGGAAAAGAAATAAGCTGAGATCAGGTCGGTGTCCGGTCCCTATGAGAACGTGACTATTCTGGTCGTTGTATGATCGCCCGTCGCAAATTGATCGCGACCGAGAGGAGTCGAGTTTGAATAGTAGTGAGTCGTTAAGGGACATCTTGAAATAGCCTACGGTGATGAGTCATCAAATTGGAAGCGTTTAGTAGAAAACACATGGCGGTATCCGGTGTTTCTCTGAAGCACTCATGATTCTATAAATCCAAAATATATTAAAATCTGATTTGATTGGATTTGATATATTATAAGATTTACTTTTAAAATTATCGATCGCCAATACTTGACGGACTTGTACATGCCACGTTCCGCGATCGCTAGTGAACACATACGTCGTTATCATAGCTCCATATCCACGTGAAGATCTGGGTTAAAATAGGTCTTCAGCAAACCATGCGTGCCGTAAAATTCATGCGCGGACTAGATACATGTCCATGGATGCTTCGCAGCCTCATTGCATTGCTCAGCTTGAAATAGACTCGCGTCACGACTACACCGCATATCGGCCGTATGTATTCGTAGATAATAGTGGAAAACATAGAGTTGGGTTTAGCCGCCGCTTTTAACAGTATTCCAGTTATATCAGCTTAATGTGGGAAGAAAGCCCGAAGTGAAGCAGGTCTTAGACGTTTATCACCTCGGCGAAACACACAAGCACGGGTATGGTACTGACAAACCTAGACAAATAATCGGGGCGAACCGGGATTCGAACCAACAATCATAGGTTTCTCGCATAGAGTTGGGTTTAACGCCGCTTTTAACAGTATTCCAGTTATATCGCGGCGTGTCAACTTAATGTGGGAGGAAAGCCCGAAGTGAAGCAGGTCTTAGATGTTTATCACCTCGGCAAAACACACGAGCATGGGTATGGTGCTGACAGACCTAGAAACATATTTGGGGCGAACCGGGATTCGAACCCACATAGGTTTCTGGCATGCCCGAAGGACGCAACTCTGCACAGCGAATCGCGGCGCCTTAGACGACTGGGCCACTCGCCCCACCTATACAAATAAAAACAGTCAACGCCAGACAATAACCAGTCTCGATTATCCGCCGAAACAGATTCAATTGGGCTTAAAAAGCAATGTAGCGATACACTATTTGAGTAGATCACACTCAAAATCAGCGATGACACTAGGTGTTCACGAGAAAGGTAAACCCAAGTATTGATGATGTATCCTATCCTATTATCACCATTTTCCCTTCCAGTTAACCAGTGCGTATGCGAATATTCCTGGTTTCGTATCTGTGGAAATTGTGGGATTCAAATTTAGGTAAGTGAATTATATAAGTCAGGTATGTATCAGGTTGGAGAGTGGACACACTGCGAATGTGCAGTTCGCGAGGTTCCATCTCGCTTCGTTTAATGTTGAGATTGTGACGCCGACCTTAGCAACGGTCAAACATGACGCAGTTGTAAGAACATGACACAAACGCCTCTAAATGCAAAACAAGAAGACATTGCTGCAGTGCATCAAATGTTCCCTGCCAAATGATGTCACATGTGGAGGAAGAAAGTGTAAGTAATGGAGGAGAAGATTAGTGTAAAGTATAAATTGATAGTTATTACAAATATTTGTTGGATGATAGTTTGATATGGTTTTGTACTGTTCCCATTGGTCATCTTTATGGTGCGATTACTTCCGGGTTAGATTTGAAGTATATTCAGAGAAATGTACTATGTTCAACCCAACATCGTGAGTATATCATGGATGTTTTGGACATATTCTGGCATTTGATCTCTGCTTGGAGTTAACAAAAACTGCTAAAGCAAAAACCATCTACAACCGTCAACTACGGTTTGACAGTACATTCAGTACAGGGCGTGAGGTGAGGTGAGGTGAGGTGAGGTGAGGTGAGGTGAGGTGAAATGGGGTTTAACGTCGCGTCCAAGATTATTGCACTTATATAACGACGTGCATGCACGTGTGTGTGTGGCTGCTTGTACTAGTCCGGACTGATGCCGATTTATAGTGCTAGCACACTGAGATACCATGTCGCAGTTTAACATGAATACCCATATCAGACACAGTATACTGACTCAGAGCTGACCAGTCCTTGTTTTAGCCCCTTACTACCGAGCGCCAGACAGGGTAACAACAAATGCCATTTTTTAACGTCTTTTGGTATGACGCGGCCGGGGATCGAACCCAGGGCCTTCCGCTCTCCGGGCGGACGCTCCACCACAAGACAACGGAGGCGGTCTACAGGGCGTGAGGAATACAGATACTGATATGGAACAATATTATATGAACACACATTTTTTATCTTGGAATAGTCAAAACCAGATCAGCTTGTCGTAAGAGGCGACTGACGGGATCGGGTGGTCAGGTTCGGTGACGTGGTTGACACTTTCTAAGTAAAGTACAGATTCTCGTAAACAAGTCAGCGATATAACCGAGGCTTCCACAGAGGCTCTGTAATTTAACAAGGAATTGTTGTCCTAAATATAACATTTGTTACATTTGACCACTTTCTAACTGGCATTTTGTGGATCGCCGTGGGTTAGATCGCCGACTTTGTGTGCTGGCGATTAGGTTCCTCAATCTGGGAGTGTGGGTTCGAATCCCGGACTGGAATCAACGCCCAAAAAATACGCGAATCTGTACTTTACAGAGAAAGTGTTATCCCATATTTAACATTTGTTATATACACAGACCGTTGTCATATAGCTGACATACTGCTGAATGCGGTGTTTACAACAAACAAACGAGATCAGGACAGAGTCGTGGCAAGTCATCAAAGCACACCAAACTGTTTGAATACAGACCCTAACCGATGTCACGAGATACTGGTGAATACAAACCAAAATGTACATAAGAAACTATCCTCTTCTGCAGAAATGGAAGCATTGTTTGCGATCACCGGTGCATCGTGCGAGCAGCTGAAAGTCCTGATGTTATAAAGAACTACATAGTACAGAATGTCTCCAGAAGCATCAATAATATGACATTCAACGGCAAGGCCCTGAAGACACCGTTCTTGGTTTCGAACAACGTTACTGCAGGTTATTATAATAATCTTAATTACGTGAACCCCAAGTGTACAACATCTAGCATTGTTCGCACATTCTGATTTTAACTATTCAAAAAAGTGTTAAACACCGAGAAAAGTGAGTGAGTGAGTGAGTTGGGTTTAACGCCGCTTTTAACATTATTCCAGTTATATCGCGGCGTGTCAGCTTAATGTGGGAGGAAAGACCGAAGTGATGCAGATCTAAGAAGATTAACACTTCGGTGAAACCCACGAGCACGGGTATGGTGCTGACAAACCTAGAAACATAATTGGGGTGAAGTGGGATTCGAACGCACAATCATAGATTTCTGGCGTGCCCAAGGGACGCAACTCTGCACAGCGAATAAGACGACTGGGCCACCCGCGCCCCCTACCGAGAAAAGAACATTTGTCTTTACAAGTAATAAATCGATACTCCCTATACGCCGATATCAAAACAGGCTAACGACATGAAACTATTTATAAACAAGAAACTAAACAAGACATGTTCCATGTTCCTGTGTGTACGTGATTCTGGTATTTAAGAATGCATTCTAAGAGCAAGTATGTGTAAAAGAGGGAGTGAGTGGTTTGGTTTAACGCCTCTTTGAACAGTTTTGAGTCATATCACGGCGTGTCAGCTCAGAAGGAAAGCTCGCAGTGATGCAGATCAACACAGATACAGGTGTTATGAAACCAAGAATTGTAATCAGGGCGAATGTACGAAAGCCTAATGGTGCCACTTGGTAGCATAATATATATATATATATATATATATATATATATATATATATATATATATATATATACTCTTTAAAAAAAGAAACTTGACATAGATGTAAAACCACTTTTTGCCAAATATCTAAAATAATTACATTAAATGAGAACCAAATAAGTCAAACAGAAAGATGATGTGTCTAGAATTCGCGAAAACACATGCAAAGCACATAAACATAGCGTTTGGGGATCAATTTTACAGCTACATCCAAACGCAACCGCCTGTAAAAAACATGCAGCACAGGATCCTGCATTTAGGCATGCCCCCCCCCCCCCCCCCTGCTGAATGGGTATAAAAATCCACATCAACGGCTGTTCATACAGTCCTTATAACGGTAGTAGAGGCGGTGACAGAATGCCAAGACTGAATGCAGCTCAACGGAACAACGCCATTGGGAGATTACAAGCTGGAGCAACTCAGCAAGAAGTGGCCAGGCACTTTGGCGTATCCAGACAGACAATCTCCGCCCTGTGGACCCAATACAACAACACCAACAGAGTTGATGACAGACAAAGGTCAGGAAGACCATGGGTGACAACCCAAGCACAAGATCGATACATCCGGCTGCGACACCTCTGAGACTGCACTACCACAGCCACGTCTATAACCACACAGATCCCTGGGGTACGCAGAATATATATCAGATCAAACGGTACGCAACAGACTGAGGGAGGCTGGACTTTTTGCACGAAGACCTGTTCGACGTCATGTATTGACCCCACGTCATCTGGCGGACCGTCTGCTTTGGTGCCAACAGAGAGTGAGTGAGTTTGGGGTTAACGCCGCTTTTAACAGTTTTCCGGTTATATCGCGGCGTGCCAGCTTAATGTGGGAGGAAAGCCCGAAGTGATGCAGGTCTCAGACGTTTACCCCTTCGGTGAAACCCACGAGCACGGGTATGGTGCTGACAAACCTAGAAACATAATCGGGGCGAACCGGGATTCGAACCCACAATCATAGGTTGCTGGCGTGCCCAAGGGACGCAACTCTGCACAGCGAATTGCGGCGTTTTAGACTGAGCAACCCGTGCCCCCTGCCAACAGAGAGTTAGATGGGCACGTGCAAGGTGGAGAAATGTACTGTGTACTGACGAGTCCCGTTCCCTCCTACTCACACGTGCTGATGGGCGCGCACGTGTCTACAGACGTCGGGGTGAACGTTACGCCCCCAACTGTGTGCAGCAGGTTGTCCCATTTGGCGGCGGGAGTGTCATGGTATGGGCCGGAATTCATCACGGTGGGAGGACGCCTCTCGTGCATGTGGCAGGTGCATTGACATGTGTGCGTTACAGAGACTTGATCCTACAGCCTTACGTTCTTCCTCACGTCAACGTTCATGGCGGACAGTTCCAGCAGGACAACGCTCGACCGCATATTGCACGTGTTTGTCAGGACTTCTTACACCACAACAACATCCAGACATTACCTTGGCCAGCCCGGTCACCAGATTTGTCCCCGATTGATCGTGAGCATCTCTGGGACGAGTTGGATCGACGCGTTCGCAGAAGGAATCCACCGCCCCAAACACTTCCGGCGCTTCTTGATGCACTTCAGCATGAATGGCAGCACATCCAACTGCGTGTTATTGACAATTTGATTGCATCTATGGGTCGTCGGTGTCAAGCGCTGATTGATGCACGTGGTGGACACAACCGATACTGACATTTTCTGTACCCCTGTGACATTAACTGTATCGTGTACGTGTGTCTGTCAAGGTGACACGATTAATGTTTTGAACATTGTGTACATTGATCTTCAAACAGTGTTTCAATTATGGTTTCTGTGTCCTATTTTGAAACAATCGCATTATATTACATTTTGAAAGTCAGCGCAATTTCTCTTTGATTTCAAATATTGATTTTTCGAAATTTCACGTTTTTTTCTCGTTACTTCGTTTATATTTTCGTAATGAACATTATTTTCTCAGAATTTCGAGTTCTTTCTCGTTTTGTGGATTTGTTTCTCTCTCGTAATTTCGATTATGTCGTAGTTATTTCAAGTTTATATGAAAAAATCGACATTTCGAAAATAATTCGTTACTTCAATTTTTCTCTCAATATTTCAATTATTTTCTCAAAAATTTCGAATTGTTCTCGTTACGTCCGAGTATGTACCGGTAATTTCGATTATTTTTTTTAGTTATTTCTCGTTACTTTGATTTATTTTTTCTATTTGTTATAAAAACTCGAAAGTTCGATTTATAAAAAAAACCGTTAAACAACGAGAGAAAAAAATCGAAATTACATAAAATAAAATAATAAAAATAATAAATAAATAAAAATATGCTTCCAAAGAGGTACCATTAGGCTTTCATACGAATGCGGGATTTGGACCCACGATCCCCGGATGCTGGTTCGCCTAGGGGACGCAACCCTGGACAGTGATCTGCAGCGTTTCAGACAGAAAGGTCAGGTCGAATATCATATACATTTGTAGTAATTTAGAGTTGAAAAGTGTAGTTTTATATCGTTTACAATCACTTTCAGCTTTGAAGACCATGGACAACAAATGCAATGCTATAGGGATATGTGATCGAGGTTTCCGTTGCTTCAACGGTTCGCATCAACAAGTAGTTCGGTGTCAGTCGCCCTGTTCAGTGGACTACTGCAGTAATGGTCGCTGTTATGTTGACTCGAATGACCAACCCAAATGCAGGTAACTTTGTGAGAACGCGGAAGCATACCTGCTGCTTTGCATAGAATATGTTCAGCCTCCCCCGTCTTTCTGAAACGTATATGTCAGGTGGGCATTGTGATAATAAGTTTCTGTTGTACAGTAAACTACGGTTATAACGAACACGCTTATTAGGAACTGACGGTTAAAACGAACTTACTTTTTTGGTCCCGACTATTTGCTGTAGTCATGTTGTATATATGCTTATAACGAACTACGGTTATAACGAACTAAAATTAGTAGTCCCTTTGAGTTCGTTATAACCGTAGTTTACTGTATATTGAAGTTAGAAGACAATTCTAATTACATACTAGCTGACAATCACTGACTTACTAATGTCAATCACTGGATTGTCTGGTCCAGATTCAGTTGTTAACAGACCGCCGTCATATAGCTGGAATATTGCTGAGTGCAGCGTTAAACAACAAACAAACAAACAAACAAACAAACTTGAGGCGGTGGCTTAACGACATGTAACTTGCCTTTATATTTTTAAAAATTGCGTGAATATTCTTGAATGAATACTGATGCACAATGCCCATCTATAAGAAACATTTTATCATGCATAATTTCATATTTAATTTTTACAACAAAGTCGTCGTCCTTTACATCAAAGACTTCGGGTTCGCCCTGATTACGTTTCTTGGTTTGTCAGCAGAGTGGTAACCGTCTAAGGCCAACACCACTTCGTGATATAGCGAAAATACTATTCAAAGCGGCGTTATACCCAACACACTCACTCACTAACTATCACTCACTAACAAACATTGGCAGACAATTTGTCAGCATTGCACAGACCCGTGAAGATCCGGGGTAGAGCAGGTCTTCAGCAACCCATGTTTGTCGTAAGAGGCTACTATGCTTGTCGTACGAGGCGACGAACGCGATCGAGTGGTCAGGCTCGCTGACTTGGTTGATGCATGTCATTGTATCCCGAATGCATGGATCGATGCTCATGATGTCAGTCACTGGATTGTCTGGTCCATCCTCGATTATTTACAGACCATATAGCTGGAATATTGCTGAGTGCGGCGTTAAACAACACACAAACACGAACACCAGAACGTAGGGCATATATTCAGACACCTGTATCCATTGACATCAACTGACATTTTGTGCGACAAAAAGCTTATTTGTGTTGATGATATGTTCATAGCTGCTATAATTCAACAACCTTCGCCTACTCTGGAGATAGATGTCAAACCAAATCAGAAAAACTTTCCATGAACAAGAATGACATCATCGCAATTTCGGCTGGAATAGGAGGAGGGCTACTCCTGCTGCTAATTATCGCCGTGGTGTGTATGTGCCTTGGCAGAAAGAAACTGAAGCAGCAACGCAATCATCACACGTAAGTGTTCCGACCATACAAACAATGCTTTATATATACACTCGGTATTGTTCAAACAAAGACTACATTAAACCCAGGGCGGTCGGGTAGCCTAGTGGTTAAAGCGTTCGCTCGTCAGGCCGAAGACCCGGTTCGATTCCCGACATGGTACAATGTGTGAAGCCCATTTCTTGTGTCCCCCGCCGTAATATTGCTGGAATATTGATAAAGTGACTCTAATCCATGAACTAAGGAAATAGACCCGTGAAGACCCGGGGTAGAATATGTCTTCATCAACACATATTTGCCGTATAAGGAGACTATGCTTGTCGTAAGAGGCGACTAACGGGATCGGGTGGTCAGGCTCGCTGACTTGGTTGAAGCATGTCATGGTATCCAAATTGCGTGGATTAATGCTCATGATATTAATCACTGGATTGTCTGGTCCAGGCTCGATTATTTAGAGACCGCCGTCATATAGCAGCAATATTGCTGAGTACGGCGTTAAACAACCAACCAACTGATGAAATACGTCCAACACTTGAGTTCCTTTACAGGGCATCAGAACGTGATATGATGGATGAGGGTGTCATCAATGGTGGAAGATCGGACATGGAACCTGCAGCCACTTTTGGTACGTTTTGCAATAAGTTCCTGTCTTTCGAGATAAGTGTTTCGCTACCTTTTACTTGGACGGGGTATGATAAGGGCCACTTTCGCCCACGAAATAGTTCATATGTACGGAATGTGGAAAGGCAAATCATTGTGAAAATAATTATGAGTTCATATGAATGAGAACTAGACTTTGTTCATAAGGAAGAGAATTTATGGATGTCAACTTCTTTATTATGAGGAAACAGAACGTGTTTCATCGGGTGAATGAATGCTATGAGGCAGAGAGTCTATATACATTCTCCAAAAACAGAAACGCACAGGTAGACTTTTAGCAAATATATTGTACTTAATAAAGTCGATATATATAATTTAATATCATAGATACAAATATGAACTTTTGGAGCTCGATAATCACATGTTGTCGTTGTACAAAGGAAAAACTGTTCTTTGTCATGTCACATAAGTCGACAAGGTTGCACTGAACTCAGTATTTCGTGTGACCGCCCCGGGCCGCAATCACGGCAATCTCCTCGGCACTGACTGGATAAGTGTACGAATGTTGTTCTGCGGAGTTCTGTGCCATTCTGCTTGTAACGCGTTGGCCAGTTGTGGGAGTGTCTGCGGCATGTTATGACGTTGACGTACACGTCGATCGTGTTCGTCCCAGGGGTGACCGATTGGGTTGAGATCTCGAAGGCCAGGGCAAGACGTTGATGTTGGCATTATGAGGGTACATGTAGTCTACCGGATACGAGCTGTGTGCGGTGGAGCGTTGTCCTGTTTAAACAGCTCCCTCTGGCGGTCAGTCATTGGAAGAAGGTGAGGTTGAAGAATTTGATTCATGTAGCGATTTGCTGTCAAATTTCCCTGAACCACAACCAAGTCAGATCTCCTGGTGTAGCATATGGTCCCCACACCATGACATTACCGCCACCCCAATTGTCCAATTCACGTACACAATATGTGGCAAAAAGCTAATTTCGACGACGATAAACACGTTGTCTTCCATCTCCCTGGTGAAGAAGAAATCGTAATTCATATATAAACCACACTCGTCTCCAGTTTCTCAAATTCCGAGGCTGTAAGGTATGGCACCAACGCAAACGTCGCTGTGGATGGATCTTTTGCAAAACAGAGACGATAACTGGTCTTCTGGATCGGACTCCGGCCTCGCGAAGATGGTTCCTGGCAGTCGGGTCCGATATCCTCCTCAAACCAGGAATGCGTCCTGCAGTCTCCGTAGCTGTGGCATTGCGATGACGAAGGTGGAACAGTCGAATGTCGCGATCCTGTGCAGGGGTGGTAACACTTGGTCGGAAGATTCTCGGACGGTCTGCAGTGGAACTTAACTGTGTGCATCGGTCCAAAAGGCGGCTAAGGTGCTGTGGTGGACGTTGAAGTGGCGTGCAACAGAAGACTGCGATGGCGATGTTCCGGGTCTCGGCATTTTCGAACATGAAAAAATGTTGACAATTGAATGACACATCATTGGCTTGTGCTTGCCTTTTTATAGACACTACCACGAGTTACGAATGTCATAACTTGCACGTGCATTTTGCTTTACTGGTTTCCTCCATGACATTTTTGAACAAGCGTGAAACCAATGCCGTTTAAGTCATTGTTTGTCGAATATCAAGCCACCAACAGTTTCCAATAACATATATCCAATTTATATACCGGATTATTTGTGTAGTCATGTTCAATGAACTATAGCTACATACTACCTGTGCGTTTCTTTTTTTGAATGTATATGTGCATGTACATGTAAGAACACCAAAAGTAATAAGATAACAAAAGTTGGAAACTTACAAGGGAGGCCTACAGATAACTGCCGCTGATGGGTGATTAGCAAAAGGCAATGGAAGCCTATTTTTTAATACAATTTTGATTAAACCTTTTAAAACTAAGAAACAAATCGCATAATAAACAGATGCTGATGGTCTTCTTTGACATCTTATGTCTGAAAATTAATAATTCTTTCGGCACAAATTTGTATTGCAAACATGGTAGGGTTGCACATTCATTTTTATCCCAGGTCTTTCAATTTTCAGTTACATGAAAAAGAAACTCGTAAAATCATTTTTTGACCGTCAGTTTATTTTTTTCAGAGGTTTTAAAGGCTAGATTTCAATCATTTGAACATGACTTATAAGTATCAAACATTTCAAGTGTGCTAGAAAGGGTTCTTATCCTATCTCGTTTGCTAATTCACGACATACATATATGGAAGATTTGCGTGCTTACATGTACATAGACCTGCAACCGCACCTGACATACCGTTATATCGATTCTAAAAAAATCAAAAGAACTCAGGTTATTCAAACATGTTCCAGGTCATGGGATTTCGACGCGATTCAACAGTGGTATGCCCTTGAACCACACCCTGCCAGTCAACACATCCACGTACGGGCCAAGCCTGTTGGCCAACTACAACAGAGGGGAATCCGTGTACGAACACATCAACACTAAAGACAAGGTAAGGGGAACAATTACGTCATCAAGATCGACCATGTTGATATTTTTCTTGGTGTTTCTGGGATTTTACATGAACATGAATTGTCCCCATAAATGATTGAACAAAAATAATTATACTTCAAACGGTTGACCAAAAGACAATTGTCTGCCACAAAAATAACCCAATGCAAATGGGTTTTCAAGGTAATTTATTTATGCTCATATGTTTAATTTTTAATCGTTTGCAGAGATGCAGATGGAAAAAATATCAAGCCTTCGTACAAATTCGCAGCAGTTCACTTTTCTAATACTGTTTACCTAAAATCAAAACACGTACTACCCGTGAAGATCCGGGGTAGAATAGGTCTTCAGCAACCCATGCTTGCCGTAAAAGGCGACTATGCTTCTCGTAAGAGGCGACTAACGTGATCGGGTGGTCAGGCTTGCTGACTAGGTTGATTCATGTCATCGTATCCAAATTGTGTAGATTGTTAATGATGTCAATCACTGGATTATCTGGTCCAGATTCGATTATTTACAGACCGCCGTCAAAAAGCTCGAATATTGCTGAGTGCGGCGTTAAACAACAAACAAAACCAACAAACAAAACACGTACTCCTCCGTTTACTCATGAAGTCCCATATTGGACTTCTAGTACATATACTAATCACCGACCAGTTATCGCCATCTGTTCATGTTATTTTGAAATATTCCGTGTACAAAGTTAACTGTGGCAATGGCTTTAACTATTTCTGTCCGTGGAAAACGTTTCAGTAGATTTATGATATAACGGACGATTGGGAATCAAAACAGTGGAAATAGAAATCCCAGTTATCGCCATCGTCTGAACTCCACGTGATCACACCGTTTCAGTTATAAAAAGTACTTTTTCTATTTTCTCCGGTGTCGTATTCAATTCTTATATTCATTAAAATTAATAAGATTTTTTTTTTGTCAATTTATCGTCAACAAATTGTTCGAATTTTGTGGAAAAATAGCTTCAATAGGACTTAGAATTCCTAACCATGCAACCTCGAAAACGTAAACACGGGGTATTCCGAATGACAGTTACGGCCCGTACTGTATCCGTGGGATAAACATTTGAACGAAGGAGGCGATGCGCAGTACTGCCATACAATCTCAACTATATATTAGACATTCCGGAATGTTCGTTTGTTCAGTTTCCAACATTTTATAGAGAACTGTGTCAACATATTTTTCAAGCGTAGTCTGAAATGGAAGACGCCAGGTTGAAACGAGTGCCGTGAAGCTCGAGAAAGCTGCTTTCTAATTGGCTCATGTCAAATTCAGTGGTCGGTCAAAGTTCGCGAATGTTCGCTCTTACGTGACCCGTAATGGGATGTCCTCAGCTAGAACTAAGATCTGATTCTAATGAGATTGAGCAAGGCGATTGCATTGGTTGTTATTGTTGTAATATTTCTTCACAAACGTCAGCATGTTCATAATGTTTTTATACATATTTCTCTCTTCTACTGACATCTACGAGAAACGAGAAAGCGACACGTGCGCTTTAGCGGTTGGCGATAACATGTCGCTAGCCAATATATTATGTAGAGTATACCTTGACAAAAACATTATATTCGGAGAGCCAGCTTGTATACTGTTTATGTCCATGAAACATATCTACTGAAATATCTGTTTCTACCTAAGTGGGCGAGAATGGTTTTGTGGACTATAAACAACTACAAAAAAGAAGGGTAACTAAAACATAATAGGTGTCAAGGCCACTACTACTATTCAATATTGTACGAACGCTTCAATCAATTTCCTGCCACTTCCAACCAACGCTACAGCCTATCACAAAGCTACTGTCACAAAACACTAAAATGACGAGAAATGATCCCGCCACCATGGTAGGATGACACGCTGTGTGCCATATCACCGAGCCTGTCGCCTCTCTCAACAAACACTGGCTACTTGGGACCTAGCCTTACCTTGAATCCGCACCGAGGTGTTTCTGCTTAAAGTGAACTACAGAAGTCTACATCTGTAGAACTAATGAGATTTATTAAGTCTGTTTAGCTTCAGTTATTCAGAATGTTGATTTGTTCTTCGGAGTTAACGGTTGCAGTCCAAGATAATACAAATATATCCTTTTAGAGATAATTAGGATTTGATATATTTATTAAGTGTGCATTTAAACAAACCTTGCAGCTAGATCTGCAAATGTGTCATTCACGAACTTTCACATCACATTCATGACCTGAGCCGTTGATGAAAACACCCTGAACAAAACGTGATTTAGATAAGAGATAAACGTACTTCGTTGTTTCTTTCTGCACTTTGTTCTTTCTTTTACAGTTTGCTTTCAAGAGACCCACAATTCGTTGAATTCTTCACGGTAGGTTAATAGAAGCTTATATTTGCTATTAAATATGAGATGTATTGATATCTGTTAAACAATAATGTAATAATGGAACATCAAACTGACTAAATAATATATACTCGCAATTAATTGCCGATGAAACGAAGACTGAACTGGAATTATTAGAAATGCATAGCAAGTATAACCCAGCTAAGACTGGCGAGGAAACAAAGGTTCATTTACATGTGCAATTCAAAGCATGTTTAAAACATACAAACAATAAAGCATTATGTATAAATGCAAATAGCCGTTCAACAGGTCTGGTAAGCGCCCTTCGTTACCCCCATAGGAAGTTTGACAAAATTGTACAATATCTGCAATTGTACACAGATGTAAATCAGAAAATGCGCTATCGTGTCACTGGATTGTCTGGTACAGACTTGATTGTCTGTCAAAAACTCGATTACTTAGGCTGCCGTTGTATGGCAGGAGTACTGCTGTGCGGCATCAAACAACAAACAAACTTTTTTCTGAAACATGTATAATATTACACATGATATGTGTAATTATACACTCAATTTGCATAAACAATAGTGTTTGATTTCTAAAGCCGCACAGAAACATCGGCATCTTCCCGAGGCAAGAGAGTTAACTGACTATATAAGTTCAGTTTCCATCCTTGCCGAACTAGCCGAATTATGGATTTACATTTTGGCTGGACTAACGAGTCAATGCATAGTCCAATCAAAATCGCGCAACGAAATCGAAATCCGGTTAGTAAACCGTCGTGCAAATTTCGGTCGATTGCAGGATTTACAAAGCATGTGCACCGCCAACACGTTGTCAACAGATACTTTCCAAGTCTTTTCATGTTTTTTATTAAGATGCTCATGTGATTTTATGCACTTCGTCATGTAAAACCCGTTTTATCACAATATATATCTTGATTATCTATCAGATCGCAAACATTTTGTTTGAAACAAAAGCAAGTGATACGAGAGGTTGAAACTGATTGGTCCATAGGAAAGGCTTAGAAGGGACATAACTCCAAATAACCACTGGTGGCGCTATCATCGAGCCCAGGAATTCCAGCCTAGTTCGGCACGGGTGGAAACTGGACTTTTAAAGTCAGTTAACTCCCTTGCCTCGGGAAGATGCAACATCGGTTGAGTTGATGCCTTATGCGTGTCAGCTTGATGTGGGAGGAAATCCCGAAGTCATGTAGGTCTTCGACGTTTATCACTTCGGTGATACCCACGAGCACGGGTATGGTGCTGACAAACCCAGAATATAATCGGGGTGAACCGGGATTCGAACCCACGATCACAGGACGCAGCTCTGCACAGTGAATCGCGGCGCCTTAGACGAATGGGCCACCCGTGTCCCCTGGTGCGCAATGAAACTATGCTCCCTACAACAGCCGACATAATTCATGATGATAAACGTTTCATGTTTTCTTGTTTACAGAGGGATGGCTCCGGAAGAAGAAAACTATCCGATCACCACATGTTCAAAACCTCAAGAGAAAACCCAGTCTCTTATATCTGCCGAAAAGGAATTTATTGGCCAAAAAATGCAAAATAGGGATGATGACTATATGAATGGATCACTGAAAATATCGCATCTCAAACCTTTTAACTGGTGCAAAAGGATAAAATTTGACGTCCCACTGGTCATATCAAAAAGTTATACCAGGACGCAATAAAACGAGTACGGGAATTACGCTGATACGTTGGACCGAGATTCGGTCACAACGAATCATGGTTGCAGAGGTATATAAAACCTGTAGACGATACATTGTAGCACCGAATAACCATAATCGTGAACACATGCAGATAAATACAAGCGACATTGTAGTCCATTCATGATCCCGAAAATAACGCAAGGACGTGTCTATGAATCACTATCAAATAGCGATAATACAGGTGTTCGCGAAGCAAGATGTTGTTTCGTAAACTGCCACTGACAGTCATGCATTAGCAAATTGCGCCGACTAAGACTCCCTTTCTGACACACACAGTGACAGCGTATTTATTTTAGCGATGATGTCAGTTTACATCAACAGACAAATAAAGCGTCGTAAATTGCCAAAACTAAGTTGGGTTTATCGATGATTAACAAGTGTAGAATGTCTATTCGTTTTCACATGGAGAGGATACAAGGCATGTATGTGAGAACTGAGTGAGATGACGTATTCTGGGACGTAAAATGCCCGCAGCACCTATTGTGTGACATGGCTAATCGTCAATAACCATTCCTCGAAGACATGAATCGTTGTTCATGCTATCAACGACTGGTTTCTATACTGAGAAGTAACACGACATTACTCAATATATGCCTGTGTTAACCAAGCAGTGAATGGGTACCCGGTTGGATGAGATGGTAATATGGCTGTTGACCTTCAAGCGCCTCATTATGTACCTTGGGTTGCCTACTCCCCTGTGATCTGGTAATTAAATTGGTGTGAAAACTGATCCATTGACTGGGGTCCTGTATGACATAATAAATATGCTCATTATTATTATCAATATTATTATTATTATCATCAGATTAAAATGCAGCAAAGAGGGTTTGGGTGATCCTGGCACAGTTAGGCTCATCATCAGCTCAGGGCCCTTGCCCCCTCTACACGTAGCCCAGACAGCGAATGGTACTTCTCCAAGGAAGCACTGCCTAGTCGAACCCACTAAGAACTTTTCGGAGTGTGTGAAGACTCCCTAACACTGCAGCCTTCTGCATTACCCAGATTGTCAGAAGGGCTGTAATCCTGGTAGCAAACTTGGGTACTCCCCCAACGTCAGATTGAGAGGTACCAAACCTGAGGCACCGAGAACATAGGGAGTCGGACAACTTGGCACTGGGGATGCAAGCATGACATTGCGAAAGCGAGGTCCGCATAGCCTTGTTTTTTCCTGAATCTTGTCAATTAGTTTGTGTCAAAAGGGACAGAAAATTCAGTTATATAAATGATTTCATTGGATTTATCAAAAAGGACCAGATCAGGTTTGTTGGCCTTGATACGTCTGAGGCTGTAAACGGGCCGATTCCAAAGAATTTTGTGTTTATCATTTTCCATGACGCCCTCCACATATTCCGCGTCGTACCATGGATGGACCTCTGTGTCAAAACCACAAGCATGGCGAAGACGGTTATAAAATGTTCGAGCTACACCATCATGTCGCTTAAGATACTGTGTTTGTGCTAGAGCTTAGCATCCACTTACAATGTGTTGGACTGTTTCATTAAATTCATTACATCATCTACATTTCATATATACATGTTGATGCAAAATCACACATTGACTGTTAGGAGTGAGAAGTGACTGGTCCTGAGCAGCAAACAGAAAACCTTCTGTTTCACTTTTCAGGCCAGCCGACTTCATCCAAGCGAAGGACTCTGCAGGGTTGCTGATCCTCTCAACAAACTGCACATAAACTCGATGCAGTGGTCGTTAAGACAGCCTATCCTTGAAATCCTCAGTCTGGGCCGATTGGATATGGCACTTCGTTTGGTTGACACTAATTTCTGTTCCGTCAAGCAGTACAGGACCATCAACAAAATCAACACATTTAGATTATGTCCCACACCCTTGGCTCGTTTAAGTAAACTGTGGAATGCCTTGTTTTCATCATGTGTCTTGACATTAGGATCATCAGACAAATAAATGTGTGCAAAAGAGCATAAAACAATTCTATCATGAAGAGCCTCCGCGTTAATCAAACTACGTCCTCCCATAATGATTGGTAAATATAAGGGATTGAGGGAAGAGCGAGGGTGGTGGGATCTAATGTATGACATGATTCTTCGCGTGAGGGTTTCAATACCCTGAATTTCTTGTTTCGTCAAATCAACAACACCAAAAGAGTATGAAAGAACGGGTACAGCATAAGTATTTGTGGTTTTAACTTTATTGACAGCATTGAGCTCTGATTTTCTTAAGCCTAAATTTCTGCTCTGCCCGCAGTTTGTCCTTGATATGGGCATTCTGGAGTGTGTCCCTAACCTGCATTATTATCATAATAATGATTGGTAAATATAAGCGATAGAGGGAAGATTGGTTGTTGGTTGGTTTGTTGTTTAACGCCGCACTCAGCAATATTCCAGCTATATGACGGCCGTCTGTAAAGAATCGAGTCTGGACCAGACAATCCAGTGATTAATATCATGAGCATCGATCCACGGAATCGGAAACGTTGACATACATCAACCAAGTCAGCGAGCATGACCACCCGATCCCGTTAGTCGCCTTTTACGACAAGCATAGTCACCTTTTACGGCAAGCATTGGTTGCTGAAGACCTATTCTATCCCGAGAGGGAAGAGCGAGGGTGGTGGGATGTATTGTCTGACATGATTCTTGTTGTGAGGGTGTCAATACCCTGAATTTCTTGTTTCGTCCAATCAACATTATTAGGGCTCCAAGCCGAAAGGCTGTAGAGCCCTATTGAAATCGTTCGATTTATTATTATTATTCTTATTTATTATTATTTATTATTCCGCCGATTTTTGTACCACACCTAGCAAAATAACCACTGGCTCGATTTTGTTCAAATTTTGTGTGTGTGTATGTGGACCGTTGGGTACTAGTGCCCGCCAAAAACCCAGGCCGTAGGCCGAAGGGCCAAGGGCAGATAACTAAAAGAACAGAATCTTTTGAAGATGTATTTCGCCCTATTGCTCCGCAATTGCTTATTTGATTACTTTGAAACCTTGCATGTATCTGCTACTTGAGCTGCTTGACATTTTTTGTTCTTTGACTTTGGTCATTGGTCACGTGGTTTGGCAGCCATATTGGATTCAAGGTTTTTACAGTGTTTTTTGGGTACCTGTCTTCAAATGCAAACAACTTTGAGTCCACTGCATGAAATGCTTTCAAACTTTCTGAGAATGGTCTCCATACATAACACATCAAACGTTAATGGCCGATTTTGGATATCTTTTTTAGTTGCGGCCATATTTGATTTTGATTTTGATAATCTTTTTCACCCAAATTTTACTTTAAAGATCATATCTTATAAGGGTCTTAACAGAAACTATTGAAAATTTGCATGAAGTTTTGATACAAAATGTACCTATTTTTTTTCTGGGTTGCATACTGAAAGCACCACCGCTTGGTGGTATTATTTGATTTTAGTAAAATGTGAGACTTGAGTACAAATACTTAAAAAGCGCCTCATAAATCTTCCATAAACCCCCATTCACTGGCTTTGCAGATACCCAAGCGTTCTCCACAGTCTTCCTCAGTATTATGTGTACTATCTTTGACGATCAGGGTTAGAATTGGCCTTTTCCAACCGATGCTTGTCTCAAGAGGCAACTACATGTATGCTTGTCACAGGAGGCGACTAATCGGATCGGGTGGTCAGTATCGCTGACTTGGTTCTTAATTTTTCAATTGCCATTTGCTATGGTACCTTATTTTTGGCGGTGTTGTTAAAAGCAAACCATTTACGGATTAGAATATGGAGGTCGGAAATGGGTTAAGTACACTCTGGGAAACTGTGGCACACGCCAATTTGGTAGCGGCAATGTCCTGAAAACGGTGACCATCTTTTGACGGAGTTGGTACAAGCAAACCATATGCGGATTCGAACACGGTCGAAGTCAAACATGGGTTAAGAACACACTGGGACACATGTGGTGATGTCTCGCAAGCGGTTCCTTACATTTGATGGCGTTGGTGTTAACAAACCATTTGAGGATTCGAACATGGTCGAAGTTGGAAATTGGGGCACCCAGGCACATGTCAAGTTAGTAGTAGTAATGTCTCACGAGAGGTTCTTTACATTTGACGGCGTGGGTACAGGTAAACCCTTTGAGGATATATGAACGAGGTGGGAAACAGGTTAAGCACTTTATCTCAGCAATGCGACAGGAACCCGGGGCTCGGACGAACGCAGAACGATAATCCGTTTGACTGGAGCCCAACTGACAAAGAAGTTACAGCGTGTTAAAGAGTCACCAAGCCGAAAGGCTGAAGAGTCCCAGTGTTAGCGTTTGATTTAATATTATTATTATTCCGCCAATTTTTGTACCAGAGCTAGAAAAATAACCACTGGCTCGATTTTGTTCAAGTTTTGTGTGTGTATGTGGACCGGTGGGTACTAGTGCCCGCCCAAAACCCTAGGCCATAGGCCTAAAGGCCGAGGGCAGATAACTAAAAGAACACAATATTTTGAAGATGTATTTCACCCTATTGCTCCGCAACCGCTTATCCGATTACTTTGAAACATTGCATGTATCTGCTGCTTGATCTGCTTGACATTTTTTGTTCTTTGACTTTGGTCATTGGTCACGTGGTTTGGCAGCCATATTGGATTCAAGGTTTTTACAGTGTTTTTTGGGTACCTGTCTTCAAATGCAAACAACTTTGAGTCCACTGCATGAAATGCTTTCAAACTTTCTGAGAATGGTCTCCATACACAACACATCAAACGTTAATAGCCGATTTTAGATATCTTTTTTAGTTGCGGCTATATTTGATTTTGATTTTGATCATTTTTTGTCATCGAAATTTTACTATAAATATCATATCTTGTGAGGTTCTCCACAGAAACTATTGATAGTTTTATATGAAGTTAGTGTGCTATATGTACCTCATTTTTTGTCCTTCGACTTTGGTCATTGGTCACGTGGTTTGGCAGCCATTTTGGATTTGAGGTTTCCACAGTGTTTTGGGGGTACCTGTCTTTAAACGCAAACAACTCCGAGTCCACTCCATGAAATGCTTTCAAACTTTCTGATAATTGTCTCCGTGCATAACACATCAAACTTAAATATTCGATTTGGGAATTCATGTTTAGTTACGGCCGTATTGAATTTTGATTTTGATCATTTTTTTCAACGAAATTTTGCTTTAAAGATCATATGTCGTAAGGTTCTCCACAGAAACTATTGCAAGTTTACATGAAGTTAGTGTGCCATATGCATCTCATTTATTGTTATTGGTTGTATGCTAAAAGTAACACCGCTTGGTGGTAATATTTGATCAATACTTGGGACACCCCTGGAACACGCCAATTTCGTAGCGGCGATTTCCGGTGACATCTTTTGACAGAGTTGGTACAAGCAAACCCTTTATGGATTCGAACATGTTCGAGGTCGGAAATGGTTTTAGAACAGACCTGGACACCCTGGCACACGCCAATTTCCTTGCGACGATACCCTGCAAGTGGTGCCTACATTTGACGGATTTGGTTCAAGGAAACCCTTTCAGGATTCGAACATTGACGTTTGGGCACAGTGTTACTTGGAGCCCGCCATTGCTGCTTGCATCTTTAATTATTATTTTATTATTATTATTATTATTTATTAGTATTATTCAGATGATCACTGTATTCGTATGTTAAATGCGAGCATTCTGTCCTTTCCGTCTTTAAATATGTTATACCCCTTTGTGACGAGGGTGAGATGAGTATTTCCTTAACGGGATAGGAAGTTCGACACGGCGTGGGACTCTCATGATACTAACCGCTGTTTAGTCTACCCCACGTCCCGACCACCTGGAGGCGCCGCGATGTAACTAGAATATTGCTGAGTGCGGCGTTGGACAACAACAAAAAGGTTTTCCCTCCAAGCTTGCACAGACGTATATGTCCTCTCCCACTGCCGCCTTTGTATCTGGCATAGAAATTCAAAGGAAGAGGTTTCATTGAAAATGTCAAAAGGTCAGCATGTCTGCCTTTCCAAACAAAACAACACACAGCTGTCTGGAGTCGCGTCGCCGGTTACAGCTGTCTATGCCCGTGGAATGTCTGAGCGCCCATTTTCACAAGACATAGTCGTAATTTAACAAAAAAACCTGATTAGAATCACGTTACGATTGTGACTTACAATGAACACTCCATTTGTGAATGGCAGCATTCTATAATCTTCTGTGTCAGTCAGCGTTTTCCTACCCTATTCGTGTAGTCAGCATAGTATTACACCATATCCTTTCCACAATATCCCTTTACATACTGACATAACTGCAGACAGAAAAGTTGAGGATTCCTTCAAACATGAAAGTGATCAGGAATTATGAAAGTATTTATCCACATCTTAACAGGACCGGTGAACATTAAATGCATCAAATTGTCCTATTAATCTAAGAATCATGTAGGAATAGTGTTTTAGTTGCATAAAATGAAAAAAAAAATCATTTTAACAATAGCCGTTTTTATGTAGGATTTTAAGGGATTGGCTAATATAGAGAAATATGTAGTGGACATAGCGTGGTGTCGTAGAGGTATATCCACCAAATTCACTTGAGCAAATTGTTCAGCTGTAACAAGTCAGTAAAATAGGCAGGGTTCTGTGACCTTTGGAAATGGTTGGTTGGTTGGTTGGTTTGTTGTTTAACGCCACACTAAGCAATATTCCAGCTATATGACGGCGGTCTGTAAATAATCGAGTCTGGACCAGACAATCCAGTGATTGACATCATGAGCATCGATCCACGCAAATGGGATCGATGACATGTATCAAACAAGTCAGCGAGCCTAACCACCCGATCCCGTTAGTCGCCTTTTACGACAAGCATAGTCGCCTTTTACGGTGAGTAAGGGTTGCTGAAGACCTATTCTACCCCGGAATCTTCACGGGTCCTTTGGAAATGGACAGACTTGGGGAACGTCAGTGATAGTATTTGTGGGAGTTATTTATTTCACAATACACGTCTCTTCTAAACGCAAGACGTGGAAACCATCACCTAGTGCATGTTATCATAATATAGATTGGATTCGATCACATCACATGTAGCTATTCGAAAAACGGCAAACAGGGACACTCGGAATAAAACGTCCTGTGATGAGGGATGCATGGATGGATTGGGGTCTCCCCGTAGATACGTAAACACGAATATTGAGATAACGAGTTTGGTGCTACCTATATGCTCAATCACGTACGTGTGAAGAGTCAAAGTTTTATTAAGATGGAACAGAAAACTTTAACAATGTTGAAAAATTCAGATTTATTAGGAACTAATATCACGAAACCCTAATAAATGAGAAGACATCACATGTTCTTTAAAAATAGTAAGTAATGCTACCCTTTTGAATTGAATCTATGTTTTTCGTTATTAAATCTCAATGTACTGGAATGTGGCAGGACCTGTCTGTAGCCAACATGGGAATACAATAAACAAGGGGAAGAAAGGGGGAAAGATCAATCAATGATGCTGCATGAGGCAATGAATCCAGTGCACTGTCCTCGATGTTGGATGAAGCATTATGTAATTACAGCCTATGGCGAATTAAGGAATGAAGACAATGCTTCAGGAAGCCACGAAAGCACGTCGATCAACATGAAGCAATTAACCCCTTACATGCTGCATGGAACAATGAAGTATTGGGGCCGATGCTGAATGAAACTCGGCATTCATCAGGAGAACATGGCTCGTCTGTTTTTGAATGCCAACTCGTTTACGGACCTCAACACACAATACTTGGCTTAGCTCATATCCGTGTCCAAGATGGCGCGACCTGAACATTTCACAATTCTGTTTCCCGCGTGATGTAGCCTACTAATAAACAACCCTCATTTGTCTTGTATAGACAATTTAGTTGCATGGTCTAAGGCAAAAGAGGTGCCATTTGATAAAAGAATAAACTAGGAATTCTAGGGTCAAACATATGTACAAATGTACACTGTAGCACTGAATGTGACAAAACATAAGTGTGCACACACACACACACACACACACACACACACACACACACACACTATATATATATATATATATATATATATATATATATATATATATATATATATATATATAGTGTGTGTGTGTGTCTATGTGTGTGTGTGTGTGTGCCCATTGTCCTTTGTCATAAGAATGTGTTTATGCATATCTTTCAAATTAGTGATGGTACCAGGTGATACATGAAAAGGCAAGTCAAGTGTTCACCCGAACAAACAGGATCACATGGTACAAGTCAAAATAGCGAATTGTCTCGGACATCATTTTCGCCTTTGATGAACCAAATTTGGATAAGTATATCATATAACATATATCAAACATTACCAAGGCTTTGAATGTTGTAACCTTGATGAAACAAATTTAAGGTGAGGTGAGGTGAAATCGGGTTTAACGTCGCGTCTAAGATTATTGCACTTATATAGCGACGTGCATGCTCGTGTGTGTGTGGCTGCTTGTACTAGTCCGGACTGATGCCGATTTATAGGGCTAGCACACTGAGATACCATGCCGTAGTTTAACATGGATACCCCACTCAGACACAGTATACTGACTCCGAGCCGACCAGTCCTTGTTTTAGCCCCTTAATGCCGAGCGCAAGACAGGGTAACAACAAGTACCATCTTTTAACGTCTTTTGCTTTGATCCGGGTGGGGATCGAACCCCGGGCCTTTCGCTCTCCGAGCGGACGCTCTACCACTAGACCACGTAGGCGGTCGAAACAAATTTACGAAAAATGTAAAACACTTGAATGTTCTGGTTGTGAAGTGTCGTACCATCTGATGAGAAGTCCCTTTCACAATCCATATCCATATAAATCATGGAGACAATCATCCACTCCGCGTGTCTGTCACTGAAAGCTCCGGGTGTCATACCTGCTTGTGCTTGACGATTAATGAAAACACAGTGAGATCATATCACTGAAAACATGGAGTGTCCGAAAGTGTTTGTATTGCACTACTTAAATAACCAGCCCCAATATTTATATTCCTGGCAAATATCACAATTATATATAGTGCACATGCACTGCACAGTCCTATGTCTTCAGTCCAATCATGCAATAAAAGTACTTCACATGCTTAGATGATGGAAAGTGTTTTAGCCTCTATTCAGCTCCTGAACTCTTAAGCAAGTCAATAACATCTCTGTGTCCATGTTGGACTGCCAGCATCAACGCTGATGTTCCATCTTGTCTGAGCTCGTTGATGTCGACAATGTCATTTGAGAGCAAACATTCCACCATTTTCACATGCCCCCCAATACATGCCACTTGGAGGATGTTGTTATCATCAATGTCTTTGAAGGAAAGAGATGCTCCTTTACATACAAGGAAATAAAACATTGCCTTGTGTCCACACCTGGCTGCCAACATCACAGGTGTTTGACCACGCTCGCCTCTGCTCGATATGTCGCTGTTGATGTAGTCCCGAGAGAAGATATATTTCACCATGTCCAAATGTCCCCCAACACAAGCGACATGAAGGAGCGTGTTGCCCTCGTCATCTTCAAGTGACACATCTGCCCCCTCAATGACCAGTAAGTCAAATATGTCTCTATGCCCATACTCTGTAGCGATCATGAGAGGTGTCCTGCTATGGTGGCCTCTAATGTTGATGTCCATATTCTCTGAAAGAAGATACTTCACAATTGCCACATCCCCACCAATACAAGCAACATGAAGGATGTTGTTTAAGTCTTTATCCACATGTTTGAAATCAGGAGTTTGGATTTCCCGTAACAGATGAAACACTTGTCGACGCTGCTTCTCTGCAGCCAGCATCAGAGCTAATCTGTCATTGTTTGGAGTAGAACCGATATCCACGAAGCAACAAGAAATTATATATTTGACCATATTTTCATTTCCTCCAAGACACGCTGCATGAAAAATGTTCTTCCCCAAATTGTCCCGTGCAGACAAATTAACGCCTTTGCCAACAAGAAGGTTAAACGCTCCAGTATGACCTCCCTCTGCAGCAGCCATCAATGGTGTCCTCCTGTTCATCCCTCTGCTATGAACATTGATATTCCCTTGTGATAGGATATTCTGCATCCTGCCAGAGACGATATACTTCACGATGTCCTCACTACCTCCAAGACAGGCCATATGTAGAATATTATCATGGTTATCATCAAGGAGAAGTAAATCTCCTCCTTCCTTCACAAGTAAATGAAAGACTTTCTTTTGACCATTTGTTGCTGCAATCATCACTGGTGTCCGTCCCAGCTTTCCTCTACTGTTGATGCCAGCGATGTTTTCTGAGAGGATATACGTCACCATTGCCACATTGTCTTTATGACAGGCAATGTGTAGGACGTTTGAGCCGTGCTCATCAACGAGAGACTCGTCTCCTCCTCTTTTCCGTATTTCTTTAAACACTTCCACCTTTCCTCCCCATGCTGCTTTCATCAGAGGTGTCCTCCCGTACCTTCCTTTTACATTGATGTCTGCAATATCTTTGGACAGGATATATCTTGCAATTGATATATTTCCTCCTAAACAAGCCAAATGAAGGATGTTGTCTCCATGGTCACTCAATAGTGTCAAATCACTTTTTTCCTTTAAATAGTAAAACACATTCTTGTGTCCTTCCTTTGCTGCCAACATGATTGGTGTTCTACCCCATTTGCCTCTCTTGTTGATGTCCACTGTGCCCTGGATGAGAACACGCTTCACCACGTCCAGGTGGCCCCCGATGCAGGCGTGATGAAGGGTATTGTTACCATCAGCATCAGCTAGGGATACATCACCTCCCCTCCCCAGAAGCAAAATCAGAACACCCAAATTGCCAGCTGCAGCCGCTTCCATCAGAGGTGTCATCCTGCCGTGCCCTAGAATGTTATCATTTTCCTGTGATGAGCCTTCAAGTGCAAATTCCATCTTTTCTTCTCCACCGGCAGTGTGGAGGTTGGTATTTGATCCCGCTGAACTGTGAGTAGCTTCCTTCGGTGACAAGCTTTCCAGTTTAAGGTCCATCTTCACTTCTCCACCGGCAGTGGTCTTTGATCCCGCTAAACTGTGAGTAGCTTTCTTCGGTGACAAGCTTTCCAATTTAAGGTCCGTCTTCTCTTCTCCATCGGCAGTGTGGAGGTTGGTATTTGATCCCGTGGAACTGTGAGTAGCTTTCTCCGCTGACAAGGTTTCCAATTTAAGGTCCGTCTTCTCTTCTCCACCGGCAGTGGTCTTTGATCCCGCCGAACTGTGAGTAGCTTGGTTCTGTGACAAGCTTCTCAGTTTAAGGTCCATCTTCTCTTCTCCACCTGCAGTGGTCATTGATCCCGCCGAACTGTGAGTAGCTTGGTTCTGTGACAAGCTTTCCAGTTTAAGGTCCATCTTCTCTTCTCCACCGGCAGTGGTCTTTGATCCCGCCGAACTATGAGTAGCTTTGTTCGGTGACAAGCTTTCCAGTTTAAGGTCCACCTTCTCTTCTCCACCGGCAGTGGTCTTTGATCCCGCTGAACTGTGAGTAGCTTGGTTCTGTGACAAGCTTTCCAATTTAAGGTCCACCTTCTCTTCTCCACCGGTAGTTGTCTTTGATCCCGCTGAACTGTGAGTAGCTTGGTTCTGTGACAAGCTTTCCAATTTAAGGTCCACCTTCTCTACTCCACCGACATTGGTCTTTGTACCCGCCGAACTGTGAGTTGCTTGGTTCTGTGACAAGCTTTCCAGTTTAAGGTCCATCTTCTCTTCTCCACCGGCAGTGGTCTTTGATCCCGCCGAACTGTGAGTAGCTTTGGTCGGTGATAAGCTTTCCAGTTTAAGGTCCATCTTCTCTTCACCACCTGCAGTGTGAAGGTTGGTATCAGACCCCGCCGAACTGTGAGTAGCCTTGTGCTGTGACAAGCTTTCCATTTTAAGGCCCATCTCCTCTTCTCCATGGGCAGTGTGGAGCTTGGTATTTGATCCCGCTGAACTGTGAGTAGCTTGGTTCTGTGAAAAGTTTCTCAGTTTAAGGTCCACCTTCTCTTCTCCACCGGCAGTGGTCTTTGATCCCGCCGAAATGTGAGAAGCTTGGTTCTGTGACAAGCTTCCCAGTTTAAGGTCCATCTTCTCTTCTCCACCGACAGTAGTCTTTGATCCCGCCGAACTGTGAGTAGCTTGGCCCTGTGACAAGGTTTCCAGTTTAGGGTCCATTTTCTCTTCTCCACCGGTAGTGTGGAGGTTGGTCTTTGATCTCGCCGAACTGTGAGTAGCTTGGTTCTGTGACAAGCTTCCCTGTTTAAGGTCCATCTTCTCTTCTCCACCGGCAGTGGTCTTTGATCCCGCTGAACTGTGAGTAGCTTGGTTCTGTGACAAGCTTCTCAGTTTAAGGTCCACCTTCTCTTCTCCAACGGCAGTGGTCTCTGATCCCGCCGAACCGCGAGTAGCTTGGTTCTGTGACAAGCTTTCCAGTGTAAGGTCCATCTTCTCTTCTCCACCGACAGTAGTCTTTGATCCCGCCGAACTGTGAGTAGCTTGGCCCTGTGACAAGGTTTCCAGTTTAGGGTCCATTTTCTCTTCTCCACCGGTAGTGTGGAGGTTGGTCTTTGATCCCGCTGAACTGTGAGTAGCTTGGTTCTGTGACAAGCTTTCCAGTTTAAGGTCCATCTTCTCTTCTCCACCGACAGTAGTCTTTGATCCCGCCGAACTGTGAGTAGCTTGACCCTGTGACAAGGTTTCCAGTTTAAGGTCCATTTTCTCTTCTCCACCGGTAGTGTGGAGGTTGGTCTTTGATCTCGCCGAACTGTGAGTAGCTTGGTTCTGTGACAAGCTTTCCAGTTTAAGGTCCATCTTCTCTTCTCCACCGACAGTAGTCTTTGATCCCGCCGAAATGTGAGTAGCTTGGTTCTGTGACAAGCTTTCCAGTTTAAGGTCCATCTTCTCGTCTCCACCGACAGTAGTCTTTGATCCCGCCGAACTGTGAGTAGCTTGGCCCTGTGACAAGGTTTCCAGTTTAAGGTCCATTTTCTCTTCTCCTGCGGTAGTGTGGAGGTTGGTCTTTGATCTCGCCGAACTGTGAGTAGCTTGGTTCTGTGACAAGCTTTCCCGTTTAAGGTCCATCTTCTCTTCTCCACCGGCAGTGGTCTTTGATCCCGCTGAACTGTGAGTAGCTTGGTTTTGTGACAAGCTTCTCAGTTTAAGATCCACCTTCTCTTCTCCACCGGCAGTGGTCTTTGATCCCGCCGAACTGTGAGTAGCTTGGTTCTGTGACAAGCTTTCCAGTTTAAGGTCCATCTTCTCTTCTCCACCGACAGTAGTCTTTGATCCCGCTGAACTGTGAGTAGCTTGGCCCTGTGACAAGGTATCCAGTTTATGGTCCATTTTCTCTTCTCCACCGGTAGTGTGGAGGTTGGTCTTTGATCCCGCCGAACTGTGAGTAGCTTGGTTCTGTGACAAGCTGTCCAGTTTAAGGTCCATCTTCTCTTCTCCACCGGTAGTGTTGAGGTTGGTCTTTGATCTCGCCGAACTGTGAGTAGCTTGGTTCTGTGACAAGCTTCTCAGTTGAAGGTCCACCTTCTCTTCTCCACCGGCAGTGGTCTTTGATCCCGCAGAACTGTGTGTAGCTTGGTTCTGTGACAAGCTTTCCAGTTTAAGGTCCATCTTCTCTTCTTCACCGGCAGTGGTCTTTGATCCCGCTGAACTGTGAGTAGCTTGGTTCTGTGACAAGCTTTCCAGTGTAAGGTCCATCTTCTCTTCTCCACCGGCAGTGGTCTTTGATCCCGCTGAACTGTGAGTAGCTTGGTTCTGTGACAAGCTTCTCAGTTGAAGGCCCACCTTCTCTTCTCCACCGGCAGTGGTCTTTGATCCCGCTGAACTGTTAGTAGCTTGGTTCTGTGACAAGCTTTCCAGTGTAAGGTCCATCTTATCTTCTCCACCGGTAGTGATCTTTGATCCCGCTGAACTGTGAGTAGCTTGGTTCTGTGACAAGCTTTCCAGTTTAAGGTCCATCTTCTCTTCTCCACCGGCAGTGGTCTTTGAACCCGCCGAACTGTGAGTAGGTTGGTACTGTGGCAAGCTTTCCAGTTTAAGGTCCACTTTCTCTTCTCCACCGGCAGTAGTCTTTGATCCCGCCGAACTGTGAGTAGCTTGGTTCTGTGACAAGCTTTCTAGTTGAAGGTCCATCTTCTCCTCTCCACCGGCAGTGGTCTTTGAACCCGCCGAACTCTGAGTAGCTTGGTACTGTGGCCAGCTTTCCAGTATAACGTCCACCTTCTCTTCTCGACCGGCAGTGGTCTTTGAGCCCGCCGAACTGTGTGTAGCTTGGTACTGTGGCCAGCTTTCAAGGTTAAGGCCCACCTTCTCTTCTCCACCGGCAGTTTTAAGGTTGGTATTTGAACCCGCTGAACTGTGAGTAGCTTGGTACTGTGGCACGCTTTCAAGTTTAAGGTCCACCTTCTCTTCTTCACCGGCAGTGGTCTTTGATCCCGCCGAACTGTGAGTAGCTTGGTTCTGTGACAAGCTTTCTAGTTTAAGGTCCATCTTCTCTTCTCCACCGGCAGTGGTCTTTGAACCCGCAGAACTGTGTGTAGCTTGGTTCTGTGACAAGATTTCAAGTTTAAGGTCCATCTTCTCTTCTTCACCTGCAGTGGTCTTTGATCCCGCAGAACTGTGAGTAGCTTGGTACTGTGGCCAGCTTTCCAGTTTAAGGTCCATCTTCTCCTCTCCACTGGCAGTGGTCTTTGAACCCGCCGAACTGTGTGTAGCTTGGTACTGTGGCCAGCTTTCAAGGTTAAGGCCCACCTTCTCTTCTCCACCGGCAATTTTAGGGTTGGTATTTGAACCCGCTGAACTGTGAGTAGCTTGGTACTGTGGCAAGCTTTCAAGCTTAAGGTCCACCTTCTCTTCTCCACCGGCAGTATGCAGATTTGTGTCTGACCCTGTGGAAATAGGGATAGTCATTGATTTAGTACTGTCCATATCGGTTACTGAAGATATATTTACAGCGGATGCAGAACATTATAATAGTCAGACGTTTAATCGACATGTTCTGATTAAATTATTACTTACGGATCGCTCTCCACTTTATGGCGTTTAGCACTGTATGGTGATGAATTCTAGCCCTATACAAAATTGGACCTCTTCAGAAATGGACTTAAAACTTTCAAATGATGATATAATGACATTTCCTAGGTTAACTGACATACTTACCCTTGTGATCCTCGTCAATATCCATCGTGTCTTTGTTCTTGTCTCGATGTGTCCATACAAGCTATGAACAGAAACAAAACTGTAGAAACTGAAGCAGAGTGTCTTACATATTAACGATGCAACGGCAATGTACATTTAACTTATATCTTCTTTCTTTTAACGCGTAAATCAGCAATGTTCAAAATTATCAAGCCAGGGGCAGACATTACAGTGATAAACAATCAATCAATTTTATTTCGTACAAGGCCTAAGGCCCACGTACAAATTGAAATGAACATTAATTAAAGCACGGGGTGATCAAACATGCAAAACATGTGTTTGTCATAGGCACGAAGAGCGTAATGCTAATGCATCTCTAATGTAGTCAGAACAGTTCATTAGAGCTGACAGGTGATGACAATGCAGCTAAATTAATGCAGTATTTATGGCCCAGGTCGTGATATGCTGGACATTCATATGTAAAATGAAATTCATCTTCAACAATATTATTGCCACACATTTCACAAAACCGAAATTGTCTGGGAGTTCATTCCCATCTTCCAGTATTTTTCTGTAAAGGCTATTCAACAAAACGTAAAACGGTGATTCTGTGCCGTGAATTTTTGGATTTCATATTTAACAAATAGGGTTCTATACAAAAGGAATGCTTGATATTGGAATACATATTGAGAGAAGAACAGCTTTTTGAATGTCAGAGAAGATAGACTGTACATAACAATCATTTATTCTTGAGTGAAATTTGTTTAAGACAGCTGTTTTATTACCGACTCCCTGGGATTCCCAGACAAATCCAAACCTAAACAGATTTACTATGTTAACATGGTAAACCCACGTTTTCCTGCCAACATGATCTAAATTACACAACATGGTATGACATTGTGTTTGGTATCTATTCTCTGACAGTTCCAAAAGCTTAAACCAGTATATTACTCGTTAACTCTTAAATGGAATGAACAAACCTGTGACTTCTGCCACATTCAGCTAAAACTGAACATTTCTTCAAAGTCTACCCAATACACACAGTAAATGAACGCACATATGCTTGAGGGAGAATTTCTAGTCACAGTGGCTATATAGTTTTGTCATCCTACTCATTAGTTGCTAGAACAACATTCTGGGTGAAACGAGTGTGGACATCCTTAAAACATCCTTGCAAAAGAGCGTAATGCTAATGCATCTCTAATGTAGTCAGAACAGTTCATTAGAGCTGACAGGTGATGACAATGCAGCTAAATTAATGCAGTATTTATGGCCCAGGTCGTGATATGCTGGACATTCATATGTAAAATGAAATTCATCTTCAACAATATTATTGCCACACATTTCACAAAACCGAAATTGTCTGGGAGTTCATTCCCATCTTCCAGTATTTTTCTGTAAAGGCTATTCAACAAAACGTAAAACGGTGATTCTGTGCCGTGAATTTTTGGATTTCATATTTAACAAATAGGGTTCTATACAAAAGGAATGCTTGATATTGGAATACATATTGAGAGAAGAACAGCTTTTTGAATGTCAGAGAAGATAGACTGTACATAACAATCATTTATTCTTGAGTGAAATTTGTTTAAGACAGCTGTTTTATTACCGACTCCCTGGGATTCCCAGACAAATCCAAACCTAAACAGATTTACTATGTTAACATGGTAAACCCACGTTTTCCTGCCAACATGATCTAAATTACACAACATGGTATGACATTGTGTTTGGTATCTATTCTCTGACAGTTCCAAAAGCTTAAACCAGTATATTACTCGTTAACTCTTAAATGGAATGAACAAACCTGTGACTTCTGCCACATTCAGCTAAAACTGAACATTTCTTCAAAGTCTACCCAATACACACAGTAAATGAACGCACATATGCTTGAGGGAGAATTTCTAGTCACAGTGGCTATATAGTTTTGTCATCCTACTCATTAGTTGCTAGAACAACATTCTGGGTGAAACGAGTGTGGACATCCTTAAAACATCCTTGCAAAATGGTCTCTTCAGATCTTGACTAACGACCAAAATAGGTATACCCTATTTTTGGTTTCAGTTCATGAACTTTACATTGAACATGCTATCTAGATGTGTCTTTAGCGGAGCACGGCATATATTTATAAAATGAACAACTTCACATATATGCAACAAATTGTATAATATTTCCAACATGTTGTGTAGAAAGTGGTCAAAGCGACCAGCGACAGAACCTTACCTTTGAGAAGCTGCTCCCCGTCTGGCCTGCCAAAACTTTTAGCCAGCCAAGAGCTCTGATGACACGTGATACACTGAACATTAGACGTCAAGGACAAGTTAATCTTGGGCCACTGCCGTGCCTTTGTGAAAATACACACACATTCCATTGTCGTTTATATGTATGGGCTATGGAATTGTTAGGGAACTTAAATTGAATTATGTGTCTATTGAAATGTGAATTTTAATAGCATTTCCACGTGGTCATAAATGTGTCTTTGAAATCAACTGTATTGATTGAATGGTAGATCGATACTTTTACACTACATGCACAATAATTACATGCAATAGTTTGAAACCACTACTCCTGGAGAGCGAAATGTTGTTCCAATCACGACCGCGTCATATAAATAAATGTTAAAAGTGGGTGCTCAGCATTTAGGGTTTAAAACAAGTCATTATACTCGGTGTCAATATACTGTGTCTGAGTGGGGTGTCGATGTTAAAACTGCGGCATGGTATCTCATTGGGCTGGCAGTATAGAGCCATCATGTAGCTGGAATATTGACGGGAAAACCAACAAACTAGATATACAGTAAACTACGGTTATAACGAACTCAAAGGGACTACTAATTTTAGTTCGTTATGGCCGTAGTTCGTTATAAGCATATATACAGCATAACTACAGCAAATAGTCGGGACTAAAAAGTTAGTTTGTTATATCCGTCAGTTCGTTTTAAGCGTGTTCGTTATAACCGTAGTTTACTGTAGATTTTATATTCATGTCACTGCACATTTCAAATTCACATTGTCTTCTAACAATATCTGATTGAGTTGGGTTGATGCCGCTTTTAACGCCGCTTCTAACGACGCTTTAAGCCGTCATAAAGCTTGAATATTGCTGAGTGTGGCGTTAAACAGCGAAAAAACAAAAAAACCGCTACATTGAACAGTATTCCAGTTATATCACGGCGTGTCAGCTTGATGTTGGAGGAGAGCCCGAATTGATGCAGGCCTCAGGCGTTTACTACTTCGGTGAAACCAACGAGCATGGGTATGGTGCTGACAAACCTAGAAACCTAATCGGAGTGTCTTACAACATGTAAAGTCACGATACCTAAACAGTAAGCACATTTATGCCATGCATTTGCCCAATGTGACTAACAACACTTTCAGTAACAATACAGCTACCCTAGCTGAATGGTCATAACACTCCTAATTGTTCGTGTACTCATACAATTCATACACTGGCAGTGCACGTCTAGCATTGCGCAATGTGTCTATGTGTTGTGAGTACAGCTAGTGTTGCTACTAATACACGTTAATGCATGTATTTGTTGAGGCAGTTCTTTATTGAATGCCGATTGAGCGTCACACATCAGCATTGGTTACGTCTGGGTGGACCCATGAAGAACCGAGTTAAAATAGGTCTTCAGCAACACATGCTTGCCGCAAAAGGCGACTATGCATGTCGTAAGAGGCGACTAACGGGATCGGGTGGTCAGGCTCTCTGACTTGGTTGATGCATATGATTGGTCAGGCTCGCCGACTTGGTTGATGCATATGGTTGGTCAGGCTCGCCTACTTGGTTGATGCATATCATCGTATCCCAGTTGCGTGGAGACCCGTGAAGATTCGGGGTAGAATTGGTTTTCCGCAACCCATGTTTGCCGTAAAAGGCGACTATGCTTGTCGTAAAAGGCGACTAACGGGATCGGGTGGACAGGCTCGCCGACTTGGTTGATGCATATGGTTGGTCAGGCTCGCCGACTTGGTTGATGCATATCATCGTATCCCAGTTGCGTGGAGACCCGTGAAGATCCGGGGTAGAATAGGTCTTCAGCAACCCATGTTTGCCGTAAAAAGCGACTATGCTTGTCGTAAAAGGCGACTAACGGGATCGTGGTTGATGCATGTCATCGATCCCAATTGCGTGGATCGATGCTCAAGATGTCAATAACTGGATAGTCTGGTCCAGACTCGATTATTTACAGACCGCCGTCATATAGCATGAATATTGCTTAGTGCGGCGTTAAAAAAAAAAAAATCAATCAACCAATTGCGTGGATCGATGCTTATGATGTCAATCACTGGATTGTCTGACAGACCGCCGTCATATAGCTAGAATATTGCTGTGTGCGGCGTAAAACAACAAACAAACTAACAAACAATACGTCTGGGTGAGCATTTCCGGTGATTTTTTAATTCTAGAGCATTGCGTGTACAGTGAAAGAAAGAAATAGCATGCAACTACTGGGGCAGTGTGGACCAATTCGTCCGATGCGCCACCATTCGCTGTTTGTTTTTTTGTTTTTTGTATTATTGTTTGTTGTTAAACGCCGCACTCAGCAATATTTTACGCACATGACGTTCAGGGGTCTGGACCAGACAATCCAGTGATTGATATCATGTGCATCGGTCAAGGCAAATGGGGATACGATGACATGCATTGACCAGGTCAGCGAGTCTGACCACCCGATCGATTTAGTCACCTCCCACGACAAGCAAGGGTTGATGAAGATCAAGCCTAATCCGGCTTTTCTTAGTTCTGATCCAAGGACGGATCCAGCAATTTTAAAAGGGAGAGGTCCAAAATGTGTATGTAGAGGGGTGGGGTGTGTGTTCTAGGAGGAAAATATTTTGTGAGATGAAAGATTTCATAGACTGCGTTAGTCTATGGGTCTCTTAGCGGTGCCAGGAACACACGTCAAACGCAACTCACCCCGCCCAGATTCGATTATTTACAGACCGCAGTCATATAGCTGGAATAATGCTGAGTGTGGCGTAAAACAATAAAGCAACCAGTCCACTACATTCACTGCGGCTTGTGGTCTACTGGTAGAGCGTCCGCCCGGAGAGCGGAAGGTCCGGGGTTCTATCCCCAGCCGCGTCATACCAAAAGACGTTAAAAGATAGTACTTGTTCTTACCCTGTCTGGCGCTCGGCATTAAGGGGCTAGAACAAGGACTGGTCGACTCGGAGTGAGTATACTGTGTCTGAGTGGGGTATTCATGTTAAACTGCGGCATGGTATCTCATTGTGCTCGAACTATAAATCGGCATCAGTCCGGACTAGTACAAGCAGCCACACACACACACAAACACGTGCATGCACGTCACTATATAAGTGCAATAATCTTGGACGCGACGTTAAACCCCATTTCACCTCACCAACCTCACAGTGACTTTTCTTCTTTAAAATTTCCTCCTTTGCGGGAGCCGTAGTGAAGCGCTCATAAAATCAGCTATTTTGGGGCTTGGAGAAGCCAAGTGCATTATCATCGAGGACTGCTCTTGGCAACATAGCGTTCATCAGTATCTCATGCTGAACCAGGAACATTTCAACGCCCTGAACACTACAGGTCAACCACACGTGGGAAAGACTCTATAGGTAGCCAGTCAAATATCATCAGCAATTACCCGAAAGGTCTAATAGATTCTCCAATACAATGTCACCAGAAAGTAGGCAGTCGACCAAATAGATTATCCAGCCTAATGTCAGACGCAGTATGGTGCTCTCATCCAGTTTCATCATCGGCTGTGTGAACGATTTTCCCGTCAGTTTTACTTACCTAATTTGGGAATTGAGATGTGGGGGTAATTTTGATGCGTTAAATTTGGAAATGTCCTCAACGTGTCTACCATAAAACGTATTGAATGCTTCACTTCAGGCCTTGAATGTTATGACCCTCTTTGAAATGTAAACCCCAAAGGCTTGAACTTTAGGAATATTGCTTGACAATAAGCTGACTAGTGGAAAGTTGTCCCTTTTGTCAAATTTGGTTGGATGGTTTGTCGTTTAACGCCGCACTCGGCAATATTCCATCCATATAATGGCGGTCTGTAAATTTGGTTGGTTGGTTTGTTGTTTTACGCCGCACTCGGCAATATTCCATCCATATGATGGCGGTCTGTAAATTTGGTTGGTTGGTTTTTTGTTTTACGCCGCACACAGCAATATTCCAGCTATATGACGGCGGTCTGTAAATAATCGAGTCTGGACCAGACAATCCAGTGATGGATATCATGAGCATCGATCCTCGCAATGTGGGATCGATGACATGCATCAAAAGAGTCAGCGAGTCAAATTTGGAAATGTCCACATGTCTATCATAAACCGTTTTGAAAGCTTTACTGAGGCCTTGAATGTTATAAACCAGATCAAACAACAGTTGAAATGTAGACACCAAAGGCTGGAGCTGTTGGAATATTGTTGACATTAATTTGCCAATTAGAATGTGAAGTCATCCCTTTCGTCATACAGTCTTGTAGATAGGTTGTTTATTTTTGTCTCTCTGAATGATGATGCCTAAATCTAAATATGAAACAGATAAGTACGGAAGCCTTTTAGGGCCATTTGTTTTTTTCTATTTTTTTCGATACAATCTTGAAATTTCAAGATACTAAGTTGAAATTCCAAGATACTAAGTTCGTATTACAAGATTATTCACTTCAAACGTATTTTTACATCTTAGGATGTTAAAAACTTATTATCTTGAAATTTCAACTTAGTATCTTAAAATTTCAAGAAAGTATCTTGAAATTTCAACTTAGTATCTTGAAATTTCAACTTAGTATCTTGAAATGTCAAGATAGTACCGAAAAAAATAACAAATGGCCCCAAAAGGCTTCCGTAGACAAGATTTTATTGGTCTCTTTTATTTCTAGTTTAGGTGTGTACATCAGTGGAGACACAAGAACATCCAGGATAAAATGGGTCACTCTTCAGCAACCCATACTTGCCGTAAAAGGTGACTAAGCTTGTCGTCGGAGGCGACTAACGGGATCGGGTGGTCAGGCTCGCTGACTTGGTTGAAACATGTCATCGATCCTAAATGCGTGGTTCAATGCTGATGATATCAATCACTGGATTGTCTGGTCCAGACTCGATTATTTACAGACTGTCGTCACATAGCTGGAATATTGCTGAGTGCAGCGTTAAACAACAAACAAACAAAGAAAACATCAATGGAAGGGAATTAATGTTCTTTTGTAATTTTACATTATTGAACGATACCAATTTGGGAATTTGTTGTTAGGTACCTACTGTCATAGTGCTTAACTGACGATCGCGGTGCTTAA